ACTTTTGTTTGGTTTAAATTTTCATTTGTCACAATATTAAATATTTATCGGCCAAAACCCAGAGAGATTCCAAAAAAAACTTTGTCTGTAAAACACAGTGAATCAGGCTCCAGTAAAATCTTTGTTGTGGTGTTCATGGTCAGTGTTCGCTGCAGTGTCTGATGGGATTGTTTCGGTTCCACAGGAAGGATTATGTTTCCTGTCACCTGGAGATCGAGAGCAGCCTTCATGCTGACGCCGGCGTGTACAAAGTCACTCTGGAGAACAAACTTGGAGCTGCCAGCGCCACCATCAACGTCAAAGTCATCGGTACAGACCTGCTCAGATTTTTTGTCATCCATCCCTAAGATTCAGAGCTGCAGATTATTTTTTTCACACGTGTTTCACTTCTGTCTTCAGGTCTTCCTGGTCCCTGTAAGGAGATCATAGCCTCTGAGATCACAAAGAGCTCCTGCAAAGTGTCCTGGGATCCTCCAGACTACGACGGCGGCAGCCCAATTCTTCACTACGTCCTGCAGGTCCAAAGGGTTTTTTAATTTATGAGCAGCGATACTGGTTTTAACTGTGACGTCAGAGTGTGAGAGACGCTGCAGAGTTTGTTCATTTTGTCTGTTTGTGTATGTGCAGCGGCGTGAGGCCGGCAGGAGGACTTACGTCAACATGATGTCCGGAGAGAACAAGGTGAGCTGGAACGTCAAAGACCTGATCCCTAACGGAGAGTACTACTTCAGAGTTCAGGCTGTGAACAAGATCGGAGGAGGAGAGTTCGTCGAGCTCCGCAACCCAGTCATCGCAGAGGACCAGAAACGTGAGAGAAATCTGTTCGACACACTAAAAAAAATGTTTTGTTGATTATTGAAGGAAAATTCCACCAATGCCACACATGATGAGTTTCCTTCATGAGCAGCACGACACAGACTCAACAGAATCTCACATTCCTCTCACAGTCAAAGTTTTAAACCAAGAGATTTCTAACTGAGATCCGTCTCTTGTTTCAGACGCTCCGGACCCACCAGTGGATGTGGAGACCCATAACCCCACATCCAGCACCATCACTCTGACCTGGAAGCCTCCCATGTATGACGGTGGCTCGAAAATCATGGGCTACATACTGGAGAGGCAACAAAAGGGCGAGGACAAGTGGGAGAGGTGCAACGACTTCCTAGTGCCTGTCCTCTCCTACACCGTCAGAGGACTGAGGGAGGGAAAGAACTACGCCTTCAGAGTCAGAGCCGAAAACTCAGCCGGGGTCAGCGAACCGTCACGTGGCACGCTATTCGTTAAGATCTCAGAAGCTGTTGGTAAGAATGGTTTTTAGTGTCAAACTGACCATTTTATCTCCTTCTCAACTGAACGTTTGATGATTTGACTTATGTATATATATATATATCTCTCTCAGATGCTCCAAAGGTTTTCCTGAGCGGCAGCCTGCAGTCAGGTCTCAGCGTGAAGCGCGGCTGTGAGATCTGCCTAGATGCCAACATCTCCGGCTCACCATACCCCGAGATCACCTGGTACTGCAACAACCAGGTGATCCGGCCCGAGCCGCTCCGCAAGAGGCCCGAAAAGCCTCTGAAGAAGAAGGTGGAGAAGAAAGAGGAGAAGAAGGAAGTCGAGGAGAAGAAGGAAGTCGAGGAGAAGAAAGAAGGAGAGGTGAAGGAAGGAGAAGAGAAAAAAGATGGAGAGGAGAAGAAGAAAGAGGAGGAGGCAGCAGAGCCGGAGGTGGAGGAGTCTGACTACCCAACGATAAACGAGCGCCTGGCCATCGACAACCACCGCAGAGGTACTTCCTCCATCGTCATCAGGGACTCGATCCGCGCCGACCACGGCGTCTACATGGTGAAGGTGGAGAACGACCATGGCAAAGCCTCGGCAACCTGCGAGGTCAACGTGCTTGGTGAGAATTTTCTGTTCCATTTTATTCTAAAATTCTGTGATTCACATTCTGTGAATTCTCCAGCAGGTTCAGGATCTGTTTTTCTTTTATTTAAGTCTGAATTCTATTCAATCTCCTCAGATACTCCCGGTCCTCCCGTCAACTTCAGATTCGAGGAGGTGAGGAAGAACTCTGTGGTCTGCAGGTGGGATCCTCCACTGGATGACGGCGGCAGCGAGATCCTCAATTACACCCTGGAGAAGAAGGATAACTCGAAGCTGGAATTCGGCTGGAGCAGCGTCACCACCACACTGAGAGGATGCAGATACCTGGTGCCCAAACTCATTGAGAAGAAGGAGTACATCTTCAGGGCCGTGGCCGAGAACAAGTTCGGTGCCGGACCCGCCTGTGTCTCCAAACCACTCATCGCCAAGAATCCTTTCGGTACAACGTCATTTATTATTAGTCAGATAAACAGCGGAGCAGTTTTTGCATTTGCAATTCAATAAATCGAGAATTTAATTTGTCAGATACTTGGATGTTGATTTTAGTCTTGAGAAATATAAACAGAAACAAGCAGTAAAAAAACTACATAAATTGAGCGTCACTGTTTTTTTTCTTCGTTCCGTCTCCTTGTCGGTCTCAGATCCTCCCGAGGCTCCTGAAAAGCCACAGATCGATGACATCACAGCCCACAGCATGCTCGTCACCTGGAACATGCCAAACGACAATGGCAGCCCCATCGTGGGATACTGGGTGGAGCGTCGTGAGATCAACAGCTCACACTGGGCTCGTGTTAACAGGTAAGGGTGACAGATCCTGTTTACTTCCTGGATTCATGCTGCGATTATGAAGTTTAAATTATATTAAAAGTCTTAAATGTGTCATTTTGTGTCCTGGTCGTCAGGAACATCGTCCCCGACACTGAGCTGAACGTTGAGGGTCTGCTCGAGGGCCTGACTTACATCTTCAGGGTGGCAGCTGAAAACCAAGCCGGCCCAGGAAAGTTCAGCGCCCCGTCTGAACCCCAAACAGCCCAAGCTCCGATTTGTACGTAAACTGAACTTTGTGTTAAATACGACTCAGTTGAATGAATCCAACAAAAACTTTGTTTACAGAATCAAGACTTATAAACAGGATATTTACTGTATGTAAATGTAAATACAGCCAGTCTCAAAGTGAATGTGTCCTGTCCTCTGCAGTACCTCCTGGACCACCTGTCGCCCGAGTGGCGTCAACCACTGACCACTCCATCGACGTGGAGTGGGACCCACCTGCTGACAACGGTGGAGGAGAGATCCTGGGGTACCATGTGGACAAGGTCAGACTATTGACTCGTCTCTGGTGCTTCAGCTGCGCTCACATTTGATTTCGGATTCCTGTGCCACTGTCAGTTCACAATTTATTCAAGACCTGAATTAAACTGTTTTCTTCTTTACTTTGTTCTCTATTGTTCTTCAGGCCATGGCCGGTACCAAGGACTGGTCCAGGTCCACAGAGCGTCCCTGGAAGACCCGGTTGTTCACAGTCTACGGAGTCCGTGAGGGAGCCAAATACCTGGTGAGAGTCATCGCCTGCAACGCAGCAGGAGAGGGAACACCAGGATTCACAGAGTCTGTGTTCGTCAGGAATCCTGCAGGTCTGGAAAAAACATTCCTTAAAAAAATTTAATCAGGTTGAATCTGATCAAAATTTGTGTTGATCTCTGTTTTGGTTTCCCTCCTCAGAGTTGCCAGTTATTGAAATGGACCTATCAGTCAAGAATGGCATTATAATCAGAGCCGGAGAGAACCTTCGTGTTCCCGCTACAGTGACAGGTAAACCCTACCCCTCCCTCACCTGGACCAAGGATGATGGTAAACCCGACAAAGACCGTGTGGAGATTCTGACTGAAGGCAACGATAGCGTTGTTTCAATCAACAACGTCCAGAGGAAGGACTGCGGCAAATACCAAATCTCTGCCTGCAACCCCAGTGGAAAGAAGTCTGCTTGGACCAGAGTGGAGGTCATGGGTGAGTTTAAGTCAGAACGTCAGAGCAGGACCCGATTATAAAACTAACTGTTAAAATTAAATTGAACACTAATGTTGTTTTATCCTCAGACGTCCCTGGACCTGTCACAGACCTGAAGCCTGTTGTAGTCACTCGTAAGATGATCTTCCTGAACTGGGATGACCCTGTGGACGACGGAGGCAGCGACCTGACAGGCTTTGTCGTTGAGCGAAAAGACGCCAAGATGCACACGTGGAGGCAGCCCGTTGAAACTGCCTCATCCAAGTGCGAGTGTGTTGGCATCATGGAGGGACAGGAGTACATGTTCCGCGTTATTGCCAAAAACAAGTATGGAATGGGGCCGCCCGTCGAGCTGGGACCACTCAAAGCTGTGGATCCGCAGGGTGAGTCCAAAGATTTGATTCAGAAATGATCGAGTGATTAGGAGCAGTGTGATAGTGGGCTTGTAAAGTGGATTTGTCGTAAACTAATAATGTTGCCACAGGTCCACCATCGTACCCTGAGAAGTTCCATTACACTGAGCGCACCAAGAACTCCATTACATTGGCCTGGAAGCCGCCACGTAATGACGGCGGCAGCCCGGTCATCGGATACTTCGTAGAGAAGAAGAGGCAGGACCAGCAGGCCTTCGAGCCATGTAACACAGAGATCTGCCCCAACATGACCATGACCGTGGAGGGCCTGGAAGATGCCTGGATGTACGAGTTCAGGATCAAGTGTACTAACCTTATCGGAGAGAGCGAGCCGTCCACGCCACTCACTGTGGTCATCCAAGATGATGAAGGTGAGGTCCTGTTGAATTATATGATCAAACCATCAGGTCTGTGTTTTTATCCTTCTGCGACAGCGACACCCAGTGGCCGGAGTTCTCGACTTGTTCATCCGTCACATTCTTGTGAATGCGACATCTCATGAATATGTTCTTTCAGATTTATTACAAACATTTAGTTGGACTCACATGTTTTTTGCTTCTTGAACATGATATTTTAAGTTGTCTCTGGGGATTTCTTCACATTTTGACCAGCTGCCAGTTGGACTCAAAGATTAACTGATTCAATTTCAGCGGTCAGAGGGAAAAGGTCACAGTGACCTCATAAGAAGATATATACTGCTGTGGTGATTCTAGTTTAATTGTGTTCTGATTTGTTTTGTTTCCTGCTTGTCTCAGTGGCTCCTGAGGTCCACATGCTGAAGCACTTCAAGGGGGACTCCATTACCGTGAAAAAGGGCGAACCCATCGAGCTCCCCGCCGACATCCTGGGACTCCCCATCCCTAAGATTGAGTGGACCAAAAATGATGTGGTCATAGATAAGCCAACCGAGACTCTGCTTATCGAAACAGAGGTGACGGGCAGGATGAACGCCAAGACGATGCTGTCCATCCCAGCAGTCAACAGGAGGGACCGTGGCAGCTACACTGTCTCTGCCTCCAACAACATGGGCTCAGCCAAACACACCACCTTTGTCATGGTGCTGGGTGCGTGGAAACATGTTATAAATGTATTCATGTACAGGAGTCAATAGTTTCAGAATCAAACCTTGGAATCAATGAACTCGTGTTCTCCCCTCAGACCGACCACTCCCACCCAGGAACGTGATGGTGTCCAACATCAAGGCGGAGTCCTGCTACCTCCAGTGGGATGCACCTCTGGACGATGGCGGCAGCGAACTGACCAACTACATTGTTGAAAAGAAAGAAGTGATGATGGAGGAGCCGGAGCTGGAAGAGGGACAGGAAGCTCCAGCTGAGCCACAGTGGGTGGAGGTTACCAACAGCATCATTGAGAAGAAATACACGGTATGGCGTCTTTACATTTTTATCACGTGCTGTAAACAACATGTTGTTTAAACTGAGATTTGCAGGAGAGAAAAATGTTCAGTGACTTTACATTTCATTACATTACATTACATCGCTACAATAAGTGCATCAACCGTGACGGAACAGACCCAGAACAGCAAGAATCATTTTTAAATACAAACACCAGAGTTAACGATGGTTATAAGACATCATCTTCTTCAACAAGGTGTAGTCTGAAGAAATGTGTCCTTAGTCTGTGGTGGAAGATGTGAAGACTTTCTGTCCTGGAACATTTCTACATTTCTAACACCATGTCCTCTTCTTGCAGGTGTGGAACCTGGAGACCAGCAAGACATACTTGTTCCAGGTCCGAGCTGAGAACCGCTACGGTAAATCTGACCCCTGTGTGACAGAGCAGGTCCAGATCACGGACCCCTTCGGCCTCCCCGGCCCTCCAGAGAAACCGACCATCGCGGAATATAACAAGACCTCCATGACCCTGACCTGGGAGCCTCCCAGGGACAATGGTGGCTCCATGATTATTGGCTACTGGCTGGAGAAGAGAGAGAAAGGAACCAGCTACTGGGCCAAAGTCAACAAGGTGCCGGTCACTAAGAGGGGCGCGAAAGGCTGGGAGTACCAGGTGAGCTACACACTAAAATAAGACCTCAGGTGAAACCCAAACAGACCCACAGATCTTAAGGAAGAACAGTTAACGTGTTCTGTCTTACTCCTGAAGGAAGATCTACTTCAGGCTTTTAATAATCTTCCACAGAGAATTAAGATGCTTCATCTCTGAACATCATACAAGGTTCCTCACAAACCTTGTATGATGTTCTTCCTTCTGTCCTCACCAGACTCTTTGAATCCCATCACAGACCTTGTGGTTTCATTAAAGAGCTTTAAGATGATGTGCATATTCATTCTTTCTCCGTCTTTTAGGTGACTCGTCTGTTTGAAGGAACTGAGTACGAGTTCAGAGTTGCTGCCTGCAACTCTGCAGGAGCTGGACCATTCAGTGGACCGTCCGACTCTGCCTTCGCCGTCAATCCAATCAGTGAGTAAAGGACAACCAGCCTCTTTAAAAAGCGTCAGTTCATCACTGTGTCTGCTGCTGATTCATCCTTGTACTGCTTCCTTCTCAAGCTCCTCCCAGCATGCCCGCTGCTCCTGAGGTGGCTGATAAGACGAAGCACAATGTCACTCTGAGCTGGAAACCACCGGAGAGCGACGGAGGAAGTCCCATCAAGGGTTACATTGTCCAGATCCAGAATGAAGGTTCCTCAGAGTGGGTGAGGGTGAACGACCCCGACACCCTTCACCCCACCACTGAGTACACAGTGCCCAGCCTCCGTGAGCTGAAACGCTTTCGCTTCAGGATCATCGCCGTCAATGACATCGGCGAGTCCGACCCCAGCCCTCGCACCGGCGAGGTTCTGATCGAGGATATCCAGCGTACGTCCATCTTGAAAGTCTCACTACATCAAATAAATAAATCTCATCAGTGTCCAGATGTTTTCCTGTCCGTCTCTGTCCTTCACCAACATCACCTCTAATGTTTCAGTCGGACCGTCCATCTCCATTGACGTGCTTGTCGACGACCTGCTCTGCATTCGTGCTGGTGATCCTATCAAGATCCCTGCCACCATTAAGGGACGCCCAGCTCCCAAGGTCACCTGGGACTTTGATGGCAAAGCCAAGTCGCACAAGAAGAACAAACTGCACACGCTGCCTGTCGACTCTGAGGTGAGAACATAGTTTCATCAAAACTCAAATCCTGGTGATTTTCTTCAAGATAAAAAATGTATTCACGTGTTTCCTGAAAAAAAGTTCAGCTTTTCTGTATTTATTTACTTTAACCGTACATTTAATAAAACATCTTTGAAAGTCAGATGTTTTCATGTTCTTGAATGTCAGCGTCACGTTGGTGCAGTTTTTAGCTCGTGTCTCACAGTCGAAGCTTCAGGGTTTGAACCTGCTCGACCTTGTGATAAACTGACGATGATCTGAGCAGCTGGGATCGACTCCAGCTCCTCGTGACACTGAAAAATATCATCGTACGGGTGACGGATGAAAATATTCAGTCTTATTGTCTTTCTGTTTTCAGGTCGAGTCCACTGACACCACGTCTGTCGTGATCGTCCCTGTGAGTCTGAGGAGCCACTCCGGACGTTACACCATCACTGCAAAGAACAAGTCTGGACAGAAACATGTGAACGTCAGAGTCAATGTCCTCGGTACGTCTGTTTTCTTTTTTTATCGACTTCCACCCGGGATACTCGACATCGTTCAGATGAGTTTTTCTGATTCTTTAGCAGTTTCAGTTTGTGATGTTGTTCTTTGACATTTAACTTGATTTCTCTCCTGCGCACAGACGTCCCCGGACCTCCAAAAGAGCTGAGGGTTACTGACATAACTCGGGCTACCATGAGGCTGATCTGGAAACTGCCCGATAATGACGGAGGAGAGAGAATTAAGAGCTACTTCATAGAGAAGAGAAGTGTCACTGACAAGGCCTGGACCAAGGTGAATGCTGCTGCGTCCAACTCCACTGTTACTTTAGTTCACATGTTTCAAACTCTCCACAGTTTCTACAGATTTCTCTTTGCATTTTTAGTTTAATTGTTTAATTTTAAGCTGAAGTTGAATGAAAAAGAAAACATCATGTATATTGATATGATTCTACTTCAGCAGAGGTTTCTTTCTAAAATGTTAGACATAAATGATCAAATCAAATCAGTTACAAGAAGAAGAACTAAATCAGTCGATTGATGAACTGATGAGTTGATTGGCTTGTTTTCAGGTGAACGCAGCTTGTGCCAGTCAGGCGTACGTGGTGCCAGGTCTGCTGGAGGGTCAGAACTACCTGTTCAGGGTCCGAGCTGAGAATAGACTCGGATTTGGTCCGTTCACCGTCACCACAGAACCTGCTCAGGCCAGAGATCCCATCTGTGAGGACACACCCACTTATTGTAACCACACATATGACAAATACCTCAGTGGAACCTTTCCAACGCATATTGTCTTCTCCCTCCTCAGACCCCCCCGACCCCCCCACCAAGCTGAAGGTTAACCTGGTGACAAAGACGACCGTGACTCTGAGCTGGGAGGCACCCAAAAACAACGGCGGCTCCCCAGTGAAGCATTACATCATTGAGCGTCTGAGCTGGGACACCAGCGGCAAAGAGAAGGAGACGTGGAAACAGTGCAACAAGAGAGATGTTGAGGAGCTCACCTTCGTGGTGGAGGACCTGAAAGAGGTTTGCTCCACGTCCTGTGAAAGATCACAACAAACAAACAAATTTACAACAGAAACTGAGCTTTGTAAAACAAGATCGAAAAGCAGTAAAATGTGGAAAATATTCAATTCAATTTTATTTGTATAGCGCCAAATCATAATATACATTATCTCAAGGAACTTTGTGTGTTGTTTATAAATTCAGCTAATTTTAAATAATGATTTGAATGAATGGTTCCACAAAAACAAATGATTACTAACAGCAAACTAAAGAGAGAGAAACATCAATGAAGCCAGATGTGATGTTGAGACATGATGATTCACTGTGTCGTCTTCAGGGAGGAGAATATGAGTTCAGGGCGAAAGCTGTGAACGCTGCCGGACCCAGCCGACCCTCTTCCACCGTGGGACCCATGCTCATCAAGGATCAAACATGTGAGTGACGGTGTTTCAGCCAATCACAGGCTTACAACTTAAATATTTTCACTTCACTGTTGACAGAAATCCTGAATCAGGTTCCAACATGAACCCCTTTGATAATTTTCATCCCTTTTTTTTTTTTGCAGGTGCTCCCACCATCGTGTTGCGTGAGGCCATGGAGGGCGAGGAGGGCTGTGATGTCAGCGTGGTGGCAAAGGTGAGTGGCTGTCCGTTCCCCACACTCACCTGGAAGATGGCCAGCCTTGCCAAACCTGACGAGAAGGCTGCTGTCCAGTACGGCCAGCACATCAGCAAACTGGTGACGCAGGACAAATGCACGCTACTGATCCAGCAGGCCAGTAGGCACGACAGTGCCCTCTACAGCCTGACGGCCAGCAATAGCCTGGGCACAGTCACCAAGGACATCAAGCTCTCAGTGCTGGGTGAGAAACATGTGATCTGAATATTCAATATGTTTATGTTTCAGCATCATGACGTAAAAACATGAAATCCCTTATAAGTTACAGTTTTTGAAAAAGTTCATTATATATACATGTTGATGTTGACATCCCGTCCCCCCAAAGGACCTCCTGGCCAGCCCGTTGGACCAATCACATTCACCGAGGTGTTTGCAGACAGGATTGGCCTGGCCTGGCACCCTCCAACAGACGACGGAGGATCCAAGATCACCAACTATGTGGTTGAGAAGCGCGAGGACAACAGGAAGTCTTGGGTCCATGTTTCCAACGACCCCAAGGAGTGCGCGTATGTGGTCACCCGTCTGACAGAGAACCACGAGTATGAGTTCCGGGTCATGGCCCAGAACAAGTTCGGAGTTGGGCCTCCACTGGTCAGCGCAGCGGAGAAGGCCAGAAACCTGTTCAGTAAGTTTCATCATCAGACGCTAAAAGATTTATACTTTTTATACTGATAACTTATAACTCGTCCCTGCAGCTGTCCCGGGTCAGTGTGAGAAACCGACTGTGACCGAGGTCTGTCTCGAGTCAATGACCGTCAACTGGGATGAGCCAAAGTACGACGGCGGCTCCTCCATCACTGGCTATATTGTTGAGAAGAAAGAGACCACCGCAAAGCGCTGGGCCCGTGTTACACGCGACCCGATCCGAGCACTGCCAATAGGCAACAACTGGGATGTCACTGGCCTGCTGGATGGTGCCCTATATCAGTTCAGGGTCATCGCCGTCAACGCCGCTGGCTGTGGTCTCCCCAGTGTTCCCTCGGACCCTGTCCTCTGCAGAGACCCCATCAGTAAGATACAGATGTTTTCACCTGTCACAGCAACATCACACACTTTAACAATGCAGAGCAAATCCCTGCAGCTACAGACCAGCCAGTCAGAGACATTTTATCATCTGCTCCGTTGACGTTGATTTCTGCATCTGTGTTTGTTCAGAACCTCCCGGACCCCCGACTCCGAAGGTGACAGACTGGACAAAGTCAACGGTGGAGCTGGAGTGGATCCCTCCTCTGGTGGACGGAGGGTCAAAGGTCACTGGCTACATCGTAGAGTTCAAGGAAGTGAATAAGGAGGAGGAGGAGAAGAAAGCCCAGAGGAGGCTGCTATTGAGTGACGTCGAAGAGGAGAAGGAGCCAGAGACCGAGGAGAGCTGGACCAAGGTAAAAAAAATAAAAAATAAAGTCAGTGATGTTCTGTTGATGGCTGAAATGTGTCTTTTTGATGAAAATTTATCTGGAGAGTTAAAATCTAAATCGGTGTTAATTTCAGAAATATGCTGATTAAAGTTGAGCTGCAGTTGTTGAAGTATTGAAGCGATTCAGTTTGTTTAAGTTTCATATCGGATCAAACTTTAATCTTTGACGATTCTCGTCCCATCTTCCAGGCAAAGGAAACAGAAATCAGAGGAACCAAATTTGTGGTTGATGGCCTGAAGGAAGGCGGTCTGTACAGATTCCGAGTCCGAGCCGTGAACGCTGCCGGAGTGGGAGATGCAGGACTCGTGTCAGAGCTGATCGAAGTCAAAGACAGAACAAGTAAGATTCATCCTCCGAACACTAACCTGCACCAGTCCAGCATCAAGTGTCTCTGAAAGACAAACTGTCTCCTTTCTCGTCCAGTTCCTCCTGAGATGGACCTGGATGCCTCGGTGAAGGAGAGGATTGTGGTCCACGCTGGAGGCACCATCCGTATCATCGCCTACGTGTCTGGTAAACCCGCCCCACAGATCACCTGGTGCCGAGAAGAAGCCGAGGTGCCCAAAGAGGCCGTGGTAGAGACGACGGGCATCTCCAACTCGTTGGTCATCAAGAACTGCAGACGCCAGCACCAGGGCATCTACACCCTGAGTGCCAAGAATGAGGGAGGAGAGAGGAAGAAGGCCGTCATGGTCGAAGTCCTGGGTGAGTCAGGGTACTGATGCTTCCAGGAAAAGTAGGATTTAAAACTGTGGCTAATAATCTCCCTGGATTCATTGAATTTATTTCTTAATAAACAATGATCAAAGTAGGAGCCAATTACTTTTCATGTCTATCAACTAGAAACATCAACAAATAAAGGCAAGACAAAAAAAACTCTAGTTCGATGTTTGAAGAATCAAAAGAAACTATCGCTAAACAAATATTCCCAAAAATTCCCAAGAATTTTAACACTATAACTTAAAAATCAGAGGCCTCCTGATGCGTCGTCACTGTCATTCATTTTGTTTTCTGCATCCGTCTTGCTCGGCCAGACGTCCCTGGACCCGTTGGTCTTCCCTTCGCCGGTGAGAACCTCACCACGGACTCCTGCAAGTTAACCTGGTGCTCCCCCGAGGACAATGGCGGATCGGCCATCACCAACTACATTATTGAGAAGAGGGAGTCGGACCGCATGGGCTGGACATCGGTGTCCTACACAGTGACGAGGAACAACGCAGTGGTTCAGGGACTCATTGACGGGAAGGGCTACTTCTTCAGGATTGCAGCCGAGAACATCATTGGCATGGGACCATTCATCGAGACAGACAAGATGGTTCTCATCAAGGATCCCATCTGTATGCCATACACATACACACACAATGCATAAACTGCTGCTGAAATTTCGTCTGACACAATTTATTACGTTTGTCTTCCGCAGCTGTCCCAGAGCGTCCAGAGGACCTGTTCGTCACCGCCGTTACCAAGGACTCCATTTCTGTCACCTGGAGACCGCCCAAGTACGACGGTGGTGCTGAAGTGACCGAGTACGTCCTGGAGTCCCGCATGCTCGGCCGGGACTACTTTATACGCGTAGGTGCTGGGGACAAACTGATGGACAGGAAGTTCACACTGACCGGGCTGAAGGAAGGATCGAGCCATGAGTTCAGAGTCTCTGCCATCAACCAGGTGGGACAAGGAAAACCGTCCTTTGCCACCAAACCGGTGCAGTGCAAGGACGAGATCGGTGAGTGACACAACCCCGACAGCACACTCATGATGTGACCAAACACCAGGGTCACAGATATAAACTGTAAAGACGCTGATACGATCACAGATGTTATGGCTCTGTGGTCCGGTCAGATGTTTATGTTCCCAGAGGATGACTTCTGAAATGTTCACACATTTATATTTTAAAACCACGTAAAAATAAGAACAGAATTTATTTATTGACATTTATGTCAAGTATTTGTCAGAACTCCTCAGCTGTATGTTAAAAAAACACGTTGAAACTTTCTTAACATTTCCCTTGTCTGTCCCCCTCACTCCTTCAGAACCTCCCACTCTGGACCTGGACTTTAGAGACAAGACAATGGTGAAGGTTGGAGACAGCTGCACACTTTCGGGACGCTACAGTGGCAAACCGGCCCCAACCGTCAGCTGGAAGAAGAACGACGAGGAGCTGAAGGCAGATGAGGAGATCAACCTCCACAGCACCACCCGCCATCTCAGCCTGAACATCAGCAAAGCCAAGAGAGAGCACAGTGGCTGCTACTGCGTCAGTGTGGAGAATGTCGCCGGAGCTCGCACAGGAATCTGCACCATCACTGTGGTTGGTGAGTCTCTATAGTCATTTACCGGTGAAAGAGGAGTGTTCGTATCCAGTCTGCAGCAGTATTAGGTAAAATATTATAAAAAACTCTTTTGGAGTCTCACCTGTATTTATGCTTCTTCTGTTTAGACCGTCCTCAGCCTCCAGAGGGGCCTGTGGTCTTTAATGAGGTCTACAGGAACTACATGGTGATCTCGTGGAACCCGCCTCTGGATGATGGAGGCTGCGCCATCTCTAACTACATCATCGAGAAGAGAGACACCAACAGAGACCTTTGGATGCCCGTCACTGCTTCCTGTACCAGGACGTCCTGCAGGGTGAGCGCATGATGACAGAATGTTCAGAGTTAAACTGTCACCACAACCTTATCTTTCAATATATGATCTTTTAATACGAAGTGTTTCAGGTTTCATCGTTAATTAAAAGTTTTTCACAGATGCATTTCACAACCAGAAACTGGACAGAAACTCTTCAGTGCTGACATTTCATTGTTTCCTCAGGTGCCGAAGCTGATCGAGGGTCGTGATTACATCATCAGGATCATGGCTCAGAACATCTATGGCATCAGCGAGCCACTCCTGTCTGCAGAGAGCAAGGCTAGAGACTTGTTCAGTAAGTGACTCCCTGGGACATTCACAGATGTTTGGACTCCACCTACTACACGTCATCAAGAAGTGTCGTGCTGCGTCTCACCTTTGTGTGTTTTTTATTCTATCGCAGAGGTGCCTGATGCTCCTAGACAGCCCACAGTGAAAGAGGTGTACCATGACTCCGCCCTCATCAGCTGGGAACCACCTGCAGACGGAGGAAAACCCATCACAAGCTACATTGTGGAGAGGAAGGAGACCATGGCCAACAGGTACGCGACACATTCATGTCAAACATGAGATTTCCTCAGGAGTCGTTTTCTCTCATAAATATATTTAATAAAACACACGCAGAACAAGCTTTTAAACTGAGTTTTGAGGAAAAGAACAAACACCAACTGGCGAAAGCTCAATCAGTGATTATTTTCATTATAAAAACACTCTAATTATAAATAAAAACTTGATCATCAGAATTGTTGTTATTTTATTTTTCTCTTCCTTATTTTCAACTTAATTCATTTGAAAAGAGTAAAAGCAAACAAAAATGAATATCTTCAGAAAACAAGATTTTTAAATAAAGAGTTTTACTTGATGTCTTGTGGTTATAATTTCAAATGTCAAAAGTCAGTGAAATATAAACAAATTTCTCTGTGGCTGATAAATGCACTGTCGTATTTCTGCGTCCAGGTGGGTGCGATGCAACACGGACAGAATCCATCCGAAGGTGGAGTACTGGGTGACGGAGCTGCTACAAGGTTGCGAGTATGAGTTTCGAGTCAGTGCTGAGAACGAGGTGGGAGCCGGCGACCCAAGTCCACCGTCCAAACCCGTCTTCGCCAAAGATCCAATAGGTGAGTTCACCAGTGCTTTACTTTACTGTTAATATTTACTACATATAGAAATGAACTACAAGACTTTGTTATTGCCCTGTGTCGCAGTGAAACCTGGTCCACCAGTGAACCTCGAGGCCATCGACTTCACCAAGGAGTCGGTGACTCTGTCCTGGGACCCGCCCACTGACACCGGCAGAGGAAAGATCTTTGGATACCTGCTGGAGTTCCAGAAAGCTGGAGAGGAGGAGTGGCAAAAGGTCAGTTAGTTTTTTTATGAATTTTGACACTGTGACCTATGCACTGCGTCGTTGTAATCGCTCTGAAAATCGTTGAACATTTTCTGTTGTCTCCAGGTGAACCAGACTCCAGACTCCTGCCAGGAGACCAAATTTAAGGTGATCAACCTGGATGATGGCGCTCTTTACCGCTTCAGAGTCAAGGCTGTCAACGCTGCTGGAGAGTCGGACCCAGCTAACTTGAAAGAGCCAATCAGAGTGCAAGACAGACTTGGTAAGTCTTCATTTCAGTATCATCAGAAACACCTTCTCCATCTAATGTCCCATCACTGACTGAATGCCCAGTAATTCTCTCTGATTTGTCTGCTTATTTCGCTCATGTCTTTTCATTTCACCTTCGTCACTACCTCAGAACCTCCAGAGCTAATTCTGGATGCCGGAATGACCCGAGAGATCAAGGCCCTGTCAGGCACTCACATCACTCTGATGGCAACCATCAAAGGTGCCCCGTTCCCCACGGTAACCTGGAAGAAGAACGAGGCTGATGTTCCCACCAGGGCGGACATTGAGACCAACCAAGCAGGCACTAAGCTGGAGATGAGGTTCTGTAACCGTGGTGACTGTGGAGACTACACCCTGAATGTGGAGAACCCAGCCGGATCCAAGACCGTCACCTGCACCGTACTGGTCCTGGGTAAGAATCCACAGAATGATTATGAACTTAAATACATGAGAAATGAAAGTCAGAAATGAAAAGACAGACTCAGAGGCTTTGTGACAATCCTCATTTTTCTTCAGACAAACCTGGACCCATTCAGCACCTCCGGGTGTCAGATGTCAGAAATGACTCTGCCTACCTTTCCTGGAAGGACCCAGAAGACAGCGGCGGTACTCGCATTACAAACTTTGTGGTGGAGAAGAAAGACACAGCATCCACTCAGTGGGTCCCCGTCTGCTCCACATCCAAGAAACGCAGCATGATGCTGAAGCACCTGATGGAGGGCACGTCCTATGTGTTCAGAGTCGCTGCTGAGAACCAGTATGGCCGCAGCGAGTACGTTGAGACGCCAAAGGCCATCAAGGCAATGAACCCACTCTGTGAGTAACAGCATATAATCAACGCATTCATGTTTATTAATCTGTACAGTTTTAACAAGGAAAAACAATTACACAAAGAAAAGTCAAAGTTATTGAGTACACATCTAAATATCTGTTTCAGTCCCTCCTGGTCCTCCCAAAGACCTGCACCATGACAACGTGGACAAGACTGAGGTGTGGTTGGTCTGGAACTGGCCTGACCGCAATGGAGGAAGTGAGATAACAGGCTTCCTGGTGGAGTATCAGGAGGAGGGAGAGAAGGAGTGGGATGAATGGAAGATTGTCAGCATCCCTGAGAGTCATGTGACTGGCCTGGAGGAAGGAAAGACCTACCGCTTCAGAGTGAGGGCAGAGAATGCCATTGGCCTGAGCAGACCCGACACCACCGTGCCCATCCTCTGCCAGGAGAGACTGGGTGAGATACAGGATGGAATCTCAACACTCTTAATTAGATTCTGCTCAAATATATTTATTTTATAAATTAAGAGTTTTACCTTAGTTGAAATGTAAGCTCTTGTTATAGTCCACATCAGCAAACTAAATGCAAAATGTGCCTTAAATTAATAAATGCAAAGCATGACCAGCTCTGTTTGTCCACAGTGCCTCCAATCGTTGAGGTGGACGTTAAGCTCACTGAAGGCATCATTGTGAAGGCCGGCACCACCATTAGGCTGCCAGCTATCATGAGAGGAATCCCTGTTCCCACTGCCAAGTGGACCATTGAAGGAGAGGAGATCACCACCCAGGGCAACATCAAGATAGACACTGACAACTTCTCCACTGTGCTCAGCATCAATGAGTGCACAAGGAACCACACTGGCACTTACCTGCTTACTGTATCCAACCCAGCTGGAACAAAGACAGTGGCCTTAAACGTCACTGTCCTGGATGTTCCAGCTGCTCCCATTGGACCTGCCAACATCCTGGAGGTCACTCCTGACTCAATGACGATTGAATGGCGCCCTCCCAAGGATGATGGCGGTAGCCCTGTCACCAACTACATTGTGGAGAAGAGGGAGTCGAGCAAGGAGACTTGGGGAGGTGTAATCTCAGGAAGCCTCGCTACCCAGCTCAGGATAACCCGCCTACAGAAGGGAGCGGAATATGTTGTTCGCATTCGTGCTGAGAACAAGATGGGAATTGGTGCTCCTCTGGAGACCAAACCCACTGTTGCTGAGCACTCCTTCATGCCACCTAGTCAGCCTGGTAAGCCACAGACCTCTGACATTTCAGAGGATGCTGTCACAGTTGGCTGGACCATGCCCCTGTCTGATGGCGGCAGCCAGATCAATGGCTACATAATTGAGCGCAGACACAAGGGAGGAAAATGGATCCGTGTCAATAAGACACCTTGCAAAGACCTGAGGTACAGAGTCCTGGGTCTGTTTGAGGGCAATGAGTACGAGTTTAGAGTGTTTGCTGAGAATATCGCTGGCTACAGTGGACCCTCCCCCATCTCTGACCCGTGCAAGCCCTGCAGGCCTATCACCGTCCCCAGTCCCCCTGTGAACCCCAGAGTTAAAGATTACAGCAAAACCACTGCAGACCTGGTCTGGACCAAACCCAATAAAGACGGCGGCAGCCCCATCCTGGGCTACAATGTGGAAATGAAGAAAGCAGATACTGACGAATGGAAAAAAGTGAACCTGGAAGACTTTGTCAAGCAGTGTGCCTATAGCGTGAAGGGACTGGAAGAGGGCGTGACCTACAGATTCAGAGTTTGTGCCTCAAACATGATTGGAGATGGAGAGCCCAGAGAAATCCCAGAATCCATCACTACACAGGATATCCTCATCCCACCAGAGATAGAGATGGAGGCCTCCTGCAGAGAGCGTGTCATTGTGCGTGCCGGACACAACATCAACATCATTGGTTACATTAGGGCCCGTCCTGACCCTGAGGTAATTTGGTCAAAGGAGGAGACAGTTCTGGAGAACAACAAACGTGTCACCATCACTCAGAACTTCCCCTTGGTCCACCTGAAGATTAAGGAGGCCACAAGAGCTGACCATGGCAAATACGTCCTTAAGGCTTCAAATGTAGGCGGGGAGGCCTCCTGCGCAATCACAGTCAATGTGCTCGACAGACCCAGCCACTGTCAGAACCTGCACATTACCTATGCAACCAAGGACTCATGCATGATCAACTGGGAGACCCCTCAAGACAATGGTGGATCTGAGATCACCAACTACATTGTGGAATGCCGTGAGCCTAGCATTAGCATGTGGTCTATGATCTCCTCCAACTGCAGAAATCGCAAGATCAAGGCAAAACTGATGGAGGGCCATGAGTACCTGTTCCGTGTCTGTGCGGAGAACAAGTTAGGACCCGGTCCAACTGTTGAGACCAAGACCCCTCTGCTGGCCATTGACCCCATTGAAAAGCCTGGAGAGCCTGAGAACTTCAGAGCCACCGACATTGGTAAGAACTACGTCAATCTGAGATGGAGGAAGCCTGACTATGATGGTGGAAGCCCCAATCTCTCCTACAACCTGGAGTGCAAAGTCAAAGATGCTGAGGAGTGGGAGAAACTCAGCACTGGCACTCTCACCAATACCTTCTTCCTGGCTGACCAGTGTGTAGAGAATAAGACGTACACTTTCAGGTATGTTGCTGCGTTCATACTGGTAGTTTTGCAGGGTGCCTCCTTGAATGTTTACCTGTCTAATGTAAATGTTTTTAAAATAATAATTCTTATATTCTCTTATCCAGGGTGCAGACTGTTAATGAGGGAGGTGAAAGTACCTGGGTGGGACTTCCTAATATTGTGGTTAGGGAAGAGATCCAGAAGCCTGTCATTGACCTGAAGCTGGCTGGAACTCTGACAGTGATGGTTGGAGAGTCGGTCAGGATGGAGGCTGGGCTGAGAGGAAAACCCCAGCCTGAGGTCAAATGGACGAAAGACAAGGCTGTTGGAGACAACCCTAGAATCAGCTATGAGACTGGGCCCGACTACTCCAAGTTCCTCATGACCAAGTCCAGACGCACTGACACAGGAAAATATATCATCACTGCCACTAACTCGGCTGGCACCTTCACAGCATACGCCAACGTTAATGTCCTGGATGTCCCCGGACCTGTAAGGAACCTGAGGGTTACAGGCCTAAGTGCTGACAAGTGCAGAGTGGTGTGGGATGCTCCAGAGGATGATGGAGGTTGTGAGGTGGATAGCTACATCCTGGAGAAATGTGAGACCAGGAGGATGGTTTGGTCAACATACTCATCCTCTGTGGTTACGCCGTACTGCAATGTCACTCGTCTCGTGGAGGGCAATGAGTACATCTTCAGAGTGAGGGCTGAGAACAAGATGGGAACCGGCCCTGCCATGGAGAGCAAGCCTGTCACTGTCAAGACTCAGTTCAACAAACCTGGGCCCCCTGAGGCCCCAGAGGTCACCAAGGTGGGTAAAATTAGATTTTCCATCCATGGGTGACCTAGATATGAAAACAGGTTTCTCAGTTTCTCACACTGCTAATATTTCTGTAATGCAGGTGAGTAAAGACGAGATGACAGTGGTGTGGGCTCCTCCTGAGAGCGATGGAGGAAAGTCAATCACTGGTTACATCCTGGAGAGGAAAGAGAAGAGGGCTGTCCGCTGGGTGCCATGCACCAAAAGCCCTATCTCTGAGAGGCGCATGAAAGTCACCAACTTGATTCTCAACCACGAGTACCAGTTCAGGGTGAAGGCTGAGAATGAGGTTGGTCTTGGCGAGCCCAGCAAACCCTGCAGACCCGTTGCAGCCAAAGATCCCATTGGTGAGTTTACAGTCGCTGTCACGGCTCAGTTTTACCCTCCAAACAATTTCTTCAGAATGTACTCAAGCCAGAACACATGTTCTTTCAGTGATCTAAGTATTTTACATGATACATTTTTCCTGTCTTCTTATGCTTCATTATTTTTGTTGACCTTTTTTACTCTCTCCCTGCAGAGCCCCCTGGCCCCCCTGCAGGCCTGAAGGTGGGTGACAGCACCAAGACCTCTATCACACTAGCCTGGTCCAAACCTGTGTACGATGGTGGTGCCCCAATAATTGGCTACAGCTTGGACTTGAGGCTGAAGAGCGAGGCAGACCCTGAAAAGCCCACAGAGGGCTGGAAGAGAATTGACACACGTGGCCCATTGGTACTCACAGAGTTCACCATTGGTCAGCTGGATGAAAAACAGGAGTACGAATTCAAGGTGTCTGCCAAAAACCAGATGGGCTGGGGACGTCATGCCTACTTGAAGGAGGCCGTCTCCCCCAAAGAGATCCTTGGTAAGAATGAACTTCCATATTTCCTTTGGCAGATGCTTTTATCCAAACCGACTTGGAACTAAGGGAAAACATGGTTACTAGAGCTAACTGTGCCTCAGTTACTGTTAATGATACTTAGATGACTTAGTTGATTAGAACTTTCCTTTTCACTCCCGACGGCTGATGTTGGTCTTATCTTTGGTTTTAGTGATGGTTTTACAAGATCTCAGTTTTCTGTTGTTATTTGTTGTACTCATGTATTTATATATTTTAATGTATTTATTTTCCCCCTGGGACAAGGAAGTTGAAGTTAATGATTTTAATATGAATTCTTTTCATGGCCACAGAGGCTCCAGAGATCGAGCTGGATGCTAGTCTGAGAAAGGGTCTGGCAGTTAGAGCTGGATGTCCAATCAGGCTGTTTGCTGTAATCAGAGGAAGACCTGCCCCCAAGGTTACCTGGAAGCGCATCGGTGTGGACAATGTGACCCGTCGTGGCCACGTGGACCAGGTTGACACCATGTCCTTTCTGGTAATTCCCGAAAGCACCAGAGAGGATTCTGGGAGATACTCACTAACTCTGTCCAACTCAGCGGGAGAGAAAGCTGTCTTCGTTCGTGTCAAAGTGCTTGGTGAGAAACTGAAAAAATGATGATACATTTTTAACCAAATTAACCAATATACTGGAAAATTTGTATACAATCAAAGTCACTCTTAAATTACTTCTCTGCAGACACCCCTGGTCCTGTTGGCGACCTAGGGGCAACTGACATCACCAAGACAACAGCTCAACTGTCCTGGTTGCCACCAGAGAATGACGGTGGCAGTACCATTATTAACTACATTGTGGAGAAACGAGAGGTGGACAGGAAGACATGGACCAAGTGCACAGAGGTCCTGAAGAAGACAAGCTTCAAGGTGACCAACATGACACCTGGAATCGAGTACTACTTTAGAGTCATGGCCTGCAACAAGTACGGCATTGGTGTTCCTCAGGACTCACCTAAGTCCTACCTGGCAGTTGATCCCATCAGTGAGTATAACCATAGACCATGTGTTCCTTTTCCTCTTTAGATTTTCCTCTGTCTTTTCTTATAAGCATCTGCTGTGTTGCATCCAGGTGAACCTGACCCTCCGAAGAAGATGGACGTGTTGGAGATCACTAAGAACAGTGCCACACTTGGCTGGCTGAAGCCACTCAGAGATGGTGGAGCCAAGATCAACGGTTATGTGGTGGACTACCAAGAAGAGGGTGCACCAGAAGACAAGTGGACGCCGTATTCTGTGGTCAAAGACCTGACCATTGTGGTGGTTGGTATCAAGGAAGGAAAGAAGTACAAGTTCAGAGTGGCAGCCAGAAACTCAGTGGGAGTCAGTCTGGCAAGAGAGGCAGAGGGAATGTTTGAGATCAAGGAGCAGCTCAGTGAGTCAACAGACCCAAACTCTTATAATCACAGAAATATAAATGTATAAGTTCAAATCATCTCATTATCCTTAAAATGTTGTTTGTTCTCCTTCCTCCAGTGGCTCCTAAGATAATCTTGCCTGATACTGTGACCGTCAAAGCTGGATCCAAGATGGTGATTGAGGCCATTGTAGCAGGTAAACCTGCTCCTGTCTGCAAGTGGAAGCAGGGCAACGAGGATGTGCTGACCTCTGACCGACTGTCGATTGTAAAGACACTGACAACCTGCACGCTAATCATCAAAAACGTGAGAAGAAACGACAGTGGCTACTTCAGCCTGTCAGCTGAGAACAGCACCGCCAGGATCAACCACATCCTCAAAGTCATCGTTATGGGTCAGTTTGAAATACATGCACTGTAGTTTCAAACTGAAAAGATACAGATCAAACTTCAAATGTGAATGATGAATAATAGATTGATTACACGTGTTCTTCTATTGTTGTCATCATTAATGACGTGTGTGTCTGCAGATATTCCTGGACCTCCTGAAGCTCCTCTGGAGATCACAGAAAAGGACATTGATGCCTGCACACTGCTGTGGAATTCCCCACAAGAGGACGGCGGCAGCAACATCACCAACTACATTGTAGAGAAGTGTGACGTCAGCGAGGGTGACTGGATCACCGTGTCCACATCCTGCACTAAAACCAAATTCAGAATAACAAAACTGACCACTGGCAAAGAGTACAGCTTCCGAGTCCGTGCTGAGAACAGGTTCGGCGTCTCCGAGCCCATTTATTCTGAGAGGATGATCGCCAGACATCCATTTGGTGAGTCTGAATTTTGCTTTATTGGCTCCATCACTGATAAACAGTTTTACAGAGATCATACTATGTCCTAATGGTTGTTTTCCATTATAGATCCTCCCAGTGAGCCCAAAAACCTGCAGATTAACAAGGTCTGCAAGGAATCTGTCATCCTGTCATGGGAGCATCCCAGCAGCGATGGTGGCAGCCCCATCACCGGATACTGCATTGAAAAGAAGGAGAGGAACAGCCTTCTGTGGGTGAAGGCGAATGAATCTATGGTCAAAGCCACCCAGTACACCTGCACCAACCTGATCGAGGGCCTGGAATACACGTTTAGGGTGTCAGCACTTAACATGGCTGGACAGGGCAAACCTTGCAAACAGACTGACTTCATCACCACCAGGAGTGCTGTTGGTACGGAAAGGCGTTCAGATGACAACATCATTTTCTTGTCATTTGTTTAATGAAAGATAGATAAGATAAAAACCAAGGCACTTTACAAATTCCAACTCTTATGGATCACTTTGGCAAAACAAACTAATGACTGTGTGGGGAAATTAAGATTCTGAGGTTACAATCCTAACAACTGAAATGAAGTAAAGACTTTTTATTGAATGATCCGCTTGAAGCCATTTTGCTGCATGTTCACACTCAACACTCAATATCAGACACAATAACTGATTCTACAAACCTTTGTATCTTCAATCCAGACCTACCAGGTAAACCCGAGCCCATGGATGTGACCAAAAACTCTGTGTCATTGGTTTGGACCCGACCCAAGCATGATGGCGGCAGCAAGCTGATTGGCTACTACATGGAATACACAAAACTTCCAGAGGACAAGTGGATTCGCTGTAATGCAAACTGCATCAACATCCAGACAGAGAACTACGTGGTGACCGGCCTGGAGGAGGGTCAACAGTACCAGTTTAGAGTCATTGCCAAGACCGCCATCAACATAAGCCTGCCATCAGAGCTGTCTGACCCAATCTCTGTCATTGCAGAGAACGGTACAACTCCACACAACACAAAGAAATGTTTGTCTGGCAAATTAGGTTATTGACAAGTATTGATGATTATTTTTCTTCTCGTCCTGGGCAGTTCCTCCTCGTGTGGAGCTGGGTGTCAACATGAAGAACTTGATTGTGGTAAAGGCTGGAGAGAACATCTCCCTGGATGCTGAAGTATTCGGCAAACCGCTGCCCAAAGTGGGCTGGAAGAAAAATGGAGTTCCACTGGTCCTCACTGAGGGAATGAAGATGACCCAGAAGAAACATGTTCACCTGCTGGAGCTCTACTCAGTGACCAGGAAGGAGTCTGGAGACTACAGTATCACCGCAGAGAACATCAATGGCTCCAAGTATGCCACCATAAAGCTCAAGGTTCTCGGTAAGTTTTATTTATTATCACTTCTTTGAAAAATATTGTCTAAACAAGATTAGCTGAGAGGTTCACCTCCCTATGTTTCCCTGCAGACAAACCAGGGCCTCCAGCCTCTGTGAAAATTACTAAAGTGTTTGCTGACCGTGTTAAGATGCGATGGGAGCCCCCAGTTGCAGATGGTGGCTCTGAAATCACTAACTACATCATTGAGAAACGTGAGACCAGCAGGGCCAATTGGGCACTGGTCACCTCCAATATCCACGGACACATCACCGACTGCTCAGTAGAGAAACTCATCGAAGGACATGAGTACCAGTTCAGAGTCAGTGCTGAGAACCAGTATGGTGTGGGAGACCCCAACATGACTGACGCTGTCATGGTCAAGAATCCATACGGTATGTTCACACCATTAAAGATGAAGCCTTTTGTGCTGCACTTCCTATAATGGGCACTGGATATGGAGTAAAAGAAAAATATTTACTGAAATGATTGACAGTCAAACACTAATGGGAATTTTCCCTTCAGATGTTCCTGGTCCCTGCGAGCCACCAGTCATCACTAACATTACCAAAGACTCCATGACAGTCAGCTGGAAGGCTCCAGCTAACGATGGCAAGGCTCCCATCCTGGGCTACATGATGGAGAAACGTGAGGCTACAGAACTGACCTGGGCTAAGGTCAACCGCCGGCCCGTCATCGACAGGACCATCAAGGCTGCTCAGCTGACAGAAGGCTCAGAATACGAGTTCAGAGTCATTGCCATCAACAAGGCCGGTCCTGGCAAACCCAGTGATGCTTCCAATGCTGCACTGGCTGTCGATCCTGTCTGTGAGTATCGGCCCTATGAAACATTTTAGACAGATAATTACAACTTTATCAAATTATCAATGTATTTATATTCCTATAAATAATTAACAAATGTGGGATTGTAATTCTACAGATCCTCCCGGTCCACCTGCCTTCCCCAAGGTGGTAGACTCCACCAAGAGCTCCATCAGCCTCAGCTGGACCAAACCTGCATACGACGGTGGCTGTGAGATCATTGGCTACCTTGTGGAGTGCAAGAGAGTGGAGGCTGAGGACTGGACCAAATGCAATGTCCCGAAAAAGCTCCAGGCCACTAAATTCCTGGTGACAGGCCTGATGGACAACACAGAGTACCAGTTCAGAGTTATCGCTGTCAACAAGATTGGCTACAGTGAGCCCAGCGAGGTCCCTGGTAACCACATGGCCAAGGACATCCTCAGTAAGTTCATCAACTGTTTATTATACCACTTTATTTCGAAAAATAATCTCTGAGCATGAGGTCCTGTGAATCAAGTATTTATATGAGAGTCATATGGTGGTAACAGAGCAAACATAGATACCTATCACGTACCTCTCCTCTCCAGTCCCAAGAAAAAAAGAAAACAAACTCCTCACAATCATCAGTAAAAGAGTTTGTGTATTCATTGTAAGATGAACACTTACTTGTAACACTTGAGCACACAAGCTAGCAAGCCAGATGCTAGCTAACGTTTTTAATTATAAAAGTTATTTTCTGCTTTCTCTAGTTGCACCTGAAGCTGAGTTGGATGCTGATCTGAGAAAGGCTTTGGTTCTTCGAGCTGGTGTTACCATGAGGCTCTACGTTCCACTGAGAGGGCGTCCGGCTCCAAAGGTGACATGGACTAAAGTTGACGCTAACCTGAAGGATAGACAGGGACTGTTGATCAAGACATCAGACTGGGACACCTTGCTGATGATTGAGGACATTAACAGATACGATGCCGGCAAATACGTCCTGACACTGGAAAACAGCAGTGGCTCCAAGAGTTACACCATTGTGGTCAAAGTCCGTGGTAAGAATTTAAGACATAAGAAACGTAACCAGGAAAGTGAAAAGGAGTAAACATTCCAGTGACTATGGGTTTGTTTTGTTACAGGTGGAAAGAAAACAAATCTTTTTAACCTTTATGAGAAGTTTTATTGCTTTAGTATCATTCATTGCAGCTAGTCCCTTTAATAATGTTAAGCACTTTCAAATACTGTTGTTGAAACAATGGTTATATTTGTCTAAAATGTTCCCCCTCCTACACAGACTCTCCTGGACCACCTGTGAACCTTATCGTGAAGGAGACCTCCAGAAACCATGCCTTTATCTCCTGGGAGGCCCCAATGATTGATGGCGGTAGCCCGGTGAAGAGCTACATTGTAGAGAAGCGTCTGGCAGAGAGGAAGGCCTGGACCTGTGTGGCCACAGAGTGTCACAAGATCTCGTTCAGAGTCCCCAACCTGGAGGGCGGACAGGCCTACTGCTTCAGAGTGCTGGCAGAAAACATATATGGCATTGGAGAGGGCTGTGAGACCGCTGGCAGCGTGCGAGCTTCAGGTGGCCACAAGTCATGATTTTGTTAATTAGGTTTTTTGACACGGTGCAGTAGATTGCTGTAAACTACAGAAGCACAAAAACACTTCTACTACAAATAAACAAAGATTGTACTTAAACTGTACAACTTCATCTACATCAAACACATTTTGTTTTTATCACAAACCCCATGATCCATCTTAACCCAGCTCTCCTTCCTCTTCAGAACAACCTGGTCCGGTGACAGACTTCAAAGCTCAGAAAACCACCAAGGACTCGATCACCCTGGGCTGGAAGAAGCCTATCAGCGATGGTGGAAGCTACATCACGGCTTACATTCTAGAACAGAGTGAAGGCGAGGAAAAGTGGAAGGAGATCATGAAGGGCAAGAAAAACTCACACACTATTAGCGAGCTGACCAAGGGAAAGGAGTACTTGTTTAAAGTCAAAGCACTCAATGTGTCTGGAGAGGGGCCACCCACCGAGCTCACTGTTGTTGCCAAGGACCAGTTTGGTAAGCTATAATGCCACGTGTTGTTAATTACAGTCTGTTGTTTTGCTAAAACATAAAAATATACTATATATATAACTATATTCTGAAAATTATAAAACCTTTGGATTTTAGTGCTACCTGACTGCAACCTGAGCAGTCTACTCGACGGCTGCTGTGTGGTGAAGGAAGGAAGCACCATGCGTATTAACATCCCTATTACGGGAGTGCCCTACCCCACTGCCACCTGGAAGAAGGGTGATTTGGGCCTCGGAGACACCGGCCGGATGTGCGTGGAGGCATCTCAGGGCATCACCACTCTGCTGATCAGAGACTGCCATAGAGGAGATGCTGGCACCTACACCATCAATGTCAGGAACAATGCTGGCTCCAAGGAATGCAATTTGCAGTTGAAGGTGGTCGGCAAGCCTGGCATTTGCACCGGACCAATTAAGTTTGACGAGATCACTGCTGATGGTATCACTCTCGAGTGGGCACCACCCAAAGATGATGGCGGTGCAGAAGTGTCTAACTACATTGTGGAAAAGAGAAGGACAACAGACAATAAGTGGGCCACTGTGGCTTCAGCTCTCCAGAAGAATACCATGAGGGTGATCAGGCTCCATGATGGAGTAGAGTACATCTTTAGAGTTTTCGCTGAGAACAAGTATGGGGTTGGAGAGTATCTGAGGTCTGACCCAGTAATTGCACAACATCCATTTGGTGAGTTTCTCACTCTTTCTAATGATAATTAAATAAACAATGACATCTGGTCTAGAATCAATAAACAATATTGAGACAAACTGTGATCAAACACTTTTGTAACTGGGGTTTGGTTTTTTTTCATATCTTTTTTTCTAATCCTTCCACCCCACCCCACCTTTTTTGCTATTTCAGATGTGCCCGATGCACCTGCTCCTCCAGAAATCATGAGCATCCGCCATGAGTCAGCCATCTTGACATGGGCTGATCCAAAGGACACCGGTGGCTCCACAATTACCGGTAATAGACTGTGATGGATATCATTTTGTAGTCTATCAATGACAAGCAATCATCACAGCTAAGACATCATGGCTAACAAAATTGTGTTTTCTGTAGGATATCATGTGGAGTTTAAGGAGAGGAACAGTCTGATGTGGAAACGGGCCACAAAGACTCCTCTCAGAGTGAAGGAGTGCAGAGTCACTGGGCTGATAGAGGGGCTAGAATATGAGTTCAGAGTGATGGCCATGAATGTGGCCGGCCTGGGAAAGGCAAGCAGGGCCACTGAGGCTGTGGTTGCTCTGGATCCTATTGGTGAGTTTACTCCTTTGTTCCATTTTTTTATATCAACAATAAATACTTGAATGGAAAAATGTCAATACTGTTTTTTTAGGCATGTCTAGTGTTTTGCATTTTTTCAACTTATTTACTCCATGTTCTGTTAGATCCTCCTGGCAAGCCTGAAGTGATTAATGTCACCAGGAGCACAGTTACTTTGATTTGGACTGCTCCCAAATATGACGGTGGCTACAAGTTGACTGGCTACATGGTGGAGAAGCTGGAATCTGGGGGCAAAGCATGGATGAAGGCCAATCATGTCAACATCCAGGGCTGTGCCTTTACCATCAGTGACCTGTCTGAGGGATCTCAGTATCAATTCAGGGTCAGGGCCAGGAACGCTGCTGGTGCAATCAGTGTTCCTTCAGAGTCTACTGATCTTCTTACCTGCAAGGATGAGTATGGTAAGCTGAAAAGTGATTCATATAGTTTGTTAGGCAAAACTAACTTGTGAGTGTCTGTTGACAATTGAAATGCAACTTTCTTACCTCTTCTCTGCAGAACCACCAACCATCACTATTGACCCTGACATGAAGGACGGTGTATCAGTCAGAGCTGGAGATACCATTGTGATCTCAGCCTCCAAGATCGTCGGCAAACCTCCACCCACTGCTGTCTGGTCCAAGGGAGGCCGTGAGTTCAAGACCTCTGACATAGTCACCATTACCAGCACCCCCACTTCCTCTATTCTGTCCATTAAGTACGCAAGCCGGAAGAACACAGGAGAATACACCATCACCGCCAGCAACCCCTTCGGCATTAAGGAAGAACATGTAAAGGTGAAGGTCCTGGACGTGCCTGGACCTCCAGGCCCCATTGAAGCCAGTAACATTTCCGCTGAGAAGTGCACTCTGACCTGGCTTCCTCCAGAGGAGGATGGAGGCTGCAGTATCAAGTCCTATATTGTTGAGAAGAGAGAGACCAGCCGTCTGCAGTGGACCAAGCTTGCTGACAATGTCATGGACTGCAGATGTGTAGCCAACAAACTTATCAAGGGCAATGAGTACGTCTTCAAAGTGTCTGCTATAAACCAGTATGGCACTGGAGACTCAAGCCAGTCTGGTCCAGTCAAAATGGTTGACAGTTTCCGTAAGTTTATATGGCTTATATATAATTACAGTTTGTATACTATCTTAAAATGATAATTGCAAATTACCATATAACCACAGGATAATGAAAATACTAATTTATCATTCAACTGAACAACATGTGCTCGTATTTTGTCTTTACCCAGGCCCACCAGGACCACCCTCAACTCCAGAGATTGACAACGTGACTAGGAATGCTGTCACCATTTCTTGGAAGAGACCAGTCCAGGATGGTGGAAGTGACATCAGAGGATATTGTGTAGAGAGGAAAGAGAGGAGAGGAATGAGATGGGTGAGAGCCTGTAAGCGGACGATCCCTGACCTGCGCTTCAAGGTGCAAGGCCTGAGCGAGGGAGTTGAGTATGAGTTCAGAGTCACTGCTGAGAACAAGGCTGGATTTGGGGAGCCGAGTGAGCCATCATGCCCTGTGATGACCAAGGACATCGTGTGTGAGTAAAACTGATTTTTGCGCTTAAGTCTGAATTTTTATTTTTAGAAAAAGAAATGCACGTGTAAAAAACGTAAAGCAACTTAGTAAAAAAGCTCCCCAATGACTTCTCTATACTCTTGTTTTGTTTTTTGTTTGTTGGTTTGTTTATTAGATCCACCTGGCCCTCCATCCAATCCAAGAATTACAGACACGACAAAAACGACAGCCACCTTTGCCTGGGGCCGACCCCACTACGACGGTGGTCTGGATGTAGATGGTTACATCGTTGAGTACAAAAAGGAGGGCCTTGATGACTGGGAGACAGAGACACAGTTCCCATTGAAAGCTACTGAATATGTTATTGGTAAACTTCAAAAAGGTGGTAAATACCACTTTAGAGTCAGTGCTGTTAACTCTGAGGGAGTTGGTGAGCCTGCAGAGATTGAGAAAGTGACTGAACTTGTGGACCAGGAGTCACTGCCAGATTTTGAGCTGGATGCTGATCTCAGGAGAACTCTAGTGGTCAGGTGTCGTGCTTCCATCCGTATGTTTGTTCCCATCAGGGGGCGTCCTATTCCTGAAGTAACCTGGAGCAAAGATGACACCAACCTGAAAACACGTGCACACATTGACACCACAGAGTCCTACACCCTACTGGTTATTCCTGACTGTACCAGATATGACGCTGGAAAGTACCACCTTTGTCTGGAGAATGTTGCAGGAAAGAAGACAGGCTTTGTTAATGTGAAAGTTCTCGACACACCAGGACCACCGGTCAACCTCAAAGAGAGAGAAATCACTAAAAATAGCATCACTCTCCAGTGGGAAATTCCCATTATTGATGGTGGTTCTAAGATTCATAACTATATTATTGAAAAGAGAGAGGCCACCAAGAAGGCCTACACAGTGATTAGCACCACATGGCAGAAGTGTTCCTTTAAATTTACAGACCTTGAAGAGGGAGCTTACTACTACTTCCGTATCACTGCTGAGAATGACCTGGGTGTGGGTCAGCCTGCAGAAACCCCTGAGCCAATCAGGGTGTCCCAAGCCCCCTCTACACCAGAGAACTTGTACGTCACAGATGTAACTGCTGACAGTGCCAGTCTTGCATGGATCAAACCCCTGCATGATGGTGGCAGCTTGATCACTGGATATGTGATTGAGGCCCAGAAGAAGGACACTGACCAGTGGGTCCATGTGGCCACCGTCAAAGCTCTTGACTACACTGTCACAGATCTGATTGAAGGGATGGAGTATACCTTCCGCATCATGGCTGTCAATGCATCAGGTAGGAGCGACCCCCGTGAGAGCAGGCCAGCTATAATCAAGGAGCAGACTTCAGCTCCCTCCTTTGACCTGCGTGGAGTCTACCAGAAGACGGTCATTGCCAAGGCAAGGGACCGTGTCAAGATAGAGATTCCAGTGCTTGGCAAACCCAAGCCTGTTGTTTCTTGGAAAAAGGAAGATGCAGTTCTCAAAGAGACACAAAGAATCAACACTGAACAAACATCAAGATCAACTATCCTCAACATCAATGAGATCAAGAGGACTGATGGGGGCCAGTATTCTATGATTGGTAAGAACATGCTGGGAACAGTGACAGAGACAATCACAGTCCTAGTCCATGACATTCCAGGTCCTCCCACTGGTCCCATTAAGCTGGATGAGATCTCTTGTGATTACGTTCTTATGTCCTGGGAGGCACCAGAGAATGATGGAGGAGTTCCTATTAGCAACTATATTGTTGAGATGCGGGAGACTACGGGTACTTCATGGATGGAGTTGGCAGCTACAGTGATTCGCACCACATTCAAGGCAGCTAGACTCAACACTGGAACCCAATATCAGTTCCGTGTCAAAGCCCAGAACAGATATGGTATTGGACCATGTATTGTCTCTGAACAAGTGGTGGCTGCCTATCCATTTGATGTGCCAAGCCAGCCAGGTATTCCTGTGGTCACATCTTTCAACAAGGATGCTATGACTTTGAGTTGGAATGAGCCATCTTCTGATGGAGGGAGCGCTATTTTGGGATATCATGTGGACAGAAAAGAGAAAAACAGCATTTTGTGGCAGAGGATCAGCAAAGCTCTTGTTGTTGGAAATATATTCAAATCAACAGGCCTTGTTGATGGAATCGCATATGAACATCGTGTTACTGCTGAAAACATGGCTGGTCTCAGCAAACCAAGCAAATCCTCTGAGCCTATGTATGCTTTGGACCCAGTTGACCCACCAGGCAGGCCTGTGGCACTGAATATCACCAGACATGAGGTGACAGTGTCATGGACCAAACCAGAGGGAGATGGTGGATTTTCCATCACAGGATACACAGTGGAGAGGAGAGAGATGCCTAATGGACGTTGGCTGAAAGCCAACTTTAACAACATCCAAGAAACCATCTACACAGTCAGTGGTCTGACTGAAGATGCAACTTATGAATTCCGTGTGTTTGCTAGAAACTCAGCTGGTTCTGTCAGTGCTCCATCTCAGTCATCAGAGGCAATCACATGCAGAGATGACATTCAAGAGCCCAGGCTTGATGTTGACGCATCATATAGCAGCAATGTTGTTGTCATGGCAGGAGAGGTATTCAAGCTGGAAGCCAGTGTGATTGGTAGGCCACTCCCATCTCTGGTATGGACAAAGGAAGGAAAGGAGCTTGAAGATACAGGCAAGCTTGAGATAAAGACATCTGACTTCCACACAACTCTTATAAACAAAGAATCATTGAGAAGAGATGGTGGAGCTTTTACTCTGACTGCCAGCAATCCAGGTGGTTTTGCCAAGTTCACATTTAATGTCAAGGTGCTCGACAGACCTGGACCACCAGACTCCCTCACTGTAACTGATGTCACTGCTGAAAAATGTGTCCTTAACTGGCTGCATCCAACACATGATGGTGGTGCAAAGATTGAGTACTTTATCATTCAGAAGCGGGAGACCAGTAGGTTGGCATGGACAAATGTGGCTACAGACCTTCAAGCAAATAGATTCAAGGTCACCAAACTTCTGAAGGGCAATGAGTACATCTTCAGAGTCATGGCTGTTAATAAGTATGGTGTGGGTGAACACCTGGAGTCTGAAGCTGTAATCTGTGCCAATCCCTATGTTGCCAGTGATGCACCACAGCAGCCCGAAGTCACCATCATTACCAAAGACTCAATGGTTGTGTGCTGGGAGCGCCCTGAACATGATGGAGGCAGCAGAATAAACACTTACATAATTGAGAGAAGGGACAAGACTGGTCTGCGCTGGGTGAAGTGCAACAAGAGGACTGTAACTGACTTGCGATTCAAGGTTTCTGGCCTCACACCAGGACATGAGTATGAATTTAGAGTTATTGCAGAGAACAATGCTGGTCTGAGCCAGCCCAGTCCTTCCAGTCCATTCTACAAAGCCATAGACACCATCTTCCAGCCTGGACCTCCAGGGAACCCCAGAGTACTGGACACAACCAAGTCTTCCATCACCCTTGCCTGGAACAAACCTGTCTACGATGGTGGTTCTGAAATCACTGGTTACATTGTGGAGACATGCCCTCCTGAGGAAGATGAGTGGACAATTCACACTCCTAAAAAGGGATGGACAGCCACATCATTCACCATCACCAATTTGAAGGAAAATCAGGAGTATAAAATCAATATCTGTGCCACTAATTGTGAAGGAGTTGGAGAACCTGCTGCTGTTCCTGGAACCCCCAAGGCAGAGGACAGACTGCTTCCTCCAGAAATTGAACTTGGAACAGAGCTACGTAAGGTGGTCAGCATCAGAGCCTGCGGCACACTTAGACTATTTGTCCCTATAAAGGGCAGACCAGCACCTGAAATAAAATGGTCAAGAGAGCACGGAGAATCCCTAGACAAAGCTATCATTGAAATCACCCCATCATTCACCACTCTTCAGGTAGAAAATGTTGACAGGTTTGATGGAGGCAAATACATGCTGACTGTAGAGAATGCCTCAGGAAGCAAGACAGCCTATGTTAATGTCAGGGTGCTAGATACCCCTGGAGCACCTCAGAATCTAATCGTCAAGGAGGTCACTAGAGATTCAGTTTTCATTGTTTGGGATGCACCTCTCATTGATGGGGGCTCCAGAGTCCGCAACTACATTGTAGAGAAGCGTGAGTCAACCAGAAAGGCCTATTCCACTGTCTGTGCAAGCTGCCATAAGTCAAGTTGGAAAATTGGAGACCTGCATGAAGGGAAGATGTACTTCTTTAGAATCCTGGCTGAGAACGAATTTGGCATTGGTCTCCCAGTGGAGACTGTTGAACCAATTAAAGCGTCAGAGAAGCCTCTACCACCAGGTAAAGTGTCTCTTCGTGAAGTTACAGGCACCAGTGTCACACTAACTTGGGAAAAGCCTGACCATGATGGTGGCAGTAGAATCATTGGTTATATTGTTGAGATGCAAGGCAAAGGCACTGAGAAGTGGATCCAGGTTATGGTAGTGAAGACCAATGAGGCCCTTATAAGTGGTCTTACACAGGGAGAGGAGTACATGTTCCGTGTTTCAGCCACCAATGAAAAGGGAGTCAGTGACCCACGACCTCTCAGTTTGCCTGTGGTGGCAAAAGATCTTGTCATTTTACCAACCTTCAAACAGCTTTTTGGCACATTCAGTGTGCTAGCAGGTGATGACTTGAAGATAGATATACCATATGCTGCCTATCCTAAGGCCACAGCAACTTGGCTCAAAGATGGTCTTGTTCTCAAGGAGACAACAAGAGTTAATGCTGAAACCACAGACGAGAACCTTCTTCTGGTCATTAAGGAGGCTTGCAGAGATGATGTGGGAACATACACCATCAAAGTAATCAACAAAGCTGGTGAGGCATCCACAGACATCAGTGTTGTTGTCATGGATAAGCCTGGTCCTCCCACTGGCCCAATTAAGTTGGATGAGGTCACTGCTGACAGTCTGGTTTTGACCTGGAATCCACCAGAATATGATGGTGGTTGCACCATCAATAATTACATTGTTGAGAAGAGGGACACATCTACCACCAACTGGCAAATTGTGTCAGCTACAGTCGCCAGAACCACAATCAAGGCTGCCCGTCTGAAGACTGGGTTTGAGTACCAGTTTAGGATTGCTGCAGAAAATAGATATGGCAAGTCAGTGGCCCTTCTGTCTGAAACTATTGTTGCTCAGTATCCATTTGAAGTTCCTAGCTCACCTCGTTCTGTTGTTGTCCAGTCAGCCACAAAGGAAACCATGGTTGTTGTATGGGATAAACCCAGCAATGATGGCGGAAGCAAAATTCTGGGCTATAACTTAGAGCTCAAAGAGAGAAACAGTATACTGTGGGTGAAACAGAACAAACAAATTATCCCAGAGACTAGATTCAAGGTTGTTGGCCTTGAGGAAGGTATTGAATATGAGTTCAGAGTCTATGCAGAGAACATTGTCGGCCTCAGCAAAGCTAGCAAACTGAGTGAAATGCAAGTGGCAAGAGATCCTTGTGAAAGACCAGGAAAACCTGAGGCTGTTATTGTGACAAGAAACCAAGTGACACTCAGATGGACGAAGCCTGATTATGATGGTGGCATCAAGATCACAGGTTATGTGGTTGAGAAGAAGGAGGCAGCTGGTCGCTGGATGAAGGCCAGTTTCACCAACATCATTAAGACTGAATTTGTTGTCACAGGACTTACTGAAGATCAGATTTATGAGTTTCGAGTCATTGCCAGGAATGCAGCAGGGGTTTTCAGTTTGCCCTCTGATTCAACTGGAGCCATCACTGCCAAGGATGAGGTGGATCCACCAAAGATTGACTTGGAAGCTAAGTACTCCCAGGCTGTGGTGGTTAATGCTGGGGAGACATTCAGGCTGGAAGCTACTGTCAGTGGTAAACCTGTGCCCACAATATACTGGCTAAAGGAGGGTCAGGAAATTACCGAAGCAGCTCGCCTAGAAATCAAGAACACAGATTTTACAGCTTGTATCATTGTTAAAGAAGCCATCCGTGTTGATGGGGGTCCATACACTTTGCTGGTAAAGAATGTTGGAGGAGAGAAATCTGTTAACATTAATGTCAAGGTCCTGGACAGACCAGGTCCTCCTGAGGGCCCTATCACCATCTATGGGGTAACAAATGAGAAATGCTCCATTGCCTGGAAACCTCCTTTGCAAGATGGTGGCAGTGATGTTTCACATTACATTGTTGAGAGGAGGGAAACCAGCAGACTGGTTTGGACTGTTGTTGAACCTAAAGTTCAGACACTGAACTTGAAGATCACAAAGCTTCTTCCTGGAAATGAATACATCTTCAGAGTGATTCCTGTCAACAAATATGGAGTTGGTGAGCCTCTGGAATCTGATGCAATGCTTGCCAGAAATCCATTTGTTTCTTCCAACCCACCAACAGAGGTAGAAGTCACAACAATCACCAAAGACTCCATGGTCGTGACTTGGGAGAGACCAGCTCATGATGGTGGAAGTCCTATTCAGGGATATGTTGTTGAGAAACGTGACAAGGATGGTGTGAGATGGACTAGGTGCAACAAGCGTACAGTAAGTGAGCTGCGATTCAGAGTGACAGGGCTCCTAGAAAACCACAGCTATGAATTCAGAATTGCTGCTGAGAATGCTGCTGGTGTTGGCACACCTAGTGCACCAACAGTGTATTATAAAGCATTAGATCCTATCTTCAAACCTGGCCCACCCAACAATCCTAAGGTGGTTGACACATCAAGGTCCACTGTTTCCTTGACATGGGGCAAACCCATCTATGATGGCGGATGTGAGATTCAAACTTATATTGTGGAGGCATGCAATGGTGCATCTGATGAGTGGTTTATGTGCACTCCTCCCACTGGAATCACAGATACCAAGTTTACAGTGAAAAAGCTTCTGGAGAAGCATGAGTACCAGTTCAGAGTGTGTGCCATCAACAAAGTTGGTGTTGGTGAGCATGCTGATGTTCCTGGAAAAATTCTCCTAGAGGAGAAGCTTGAGGCTCCCGATCTTGACCTGGATGCTGATATGAGAAAAATGATCAACATTAGGGCAGCAAGCACTCTCAGGCTGTTTGTTCCTGTGAGAGGACGTCCAGCTCCTGAGGTGAAATGGGGTAAAGTTGAGGGGGAGATTAAGGAGACTGCCCAGATTGACAACACAGGCACTTACGCTTCACTTGTCATTGAGAATGTTGACAGATTTGACAGTGGCAAGTACACCCTCACTGCAGAGAATGCCAGTGGAGTGAAGTCAGTCTTCATTAGTGTCAGGGTCCTGGACTCACCTAGTCCACCAACTAACTTCACAGTGAAGGAGATAACAAAAAATTCTGTCAGTCTTACATGGGAGCCTCCACTTCTGGATGGGGGTTCAAAGATTAAACATTATATTGTTGAGAAACGTGAGAGCACCAGGAAAGTTTACTCAACTATCACTACCTGCAATAGGATGTCATGGAAAGTGGAGCCTCTTCCAGAAGGTGGAATCTTCTTCTTCAGAGTCCTGGCTGAGAATGAATATGGTGTTGGTCTCCAGGCCAAAACAATAGAACCAATTAAAATATCTGAGAAGCCTCAGCCACCTGGCAAAGTCAGTGTTGTTGATGTGACACATAGCACTGTAACCCTCGCCTGGGAGAAACCTCAACATGATGGTGGTAGTAGAATCAGTCACTATGAAGTTGAACTCACACCTAAGGATAGTGGCACTTGGTCAGTGTGTACTAGTGTGAAATCGCTGGAGACTGTAGTGACAAACCTACTCAAGGGAGAGGAGTATAATTTCAGAGTTGTAGCTGTAAATGACAAGGGCAAAAGTGACCCCAGACAACTAGCCCAATCAGTTGTTGCAAAGGACCTTGTGATTGAGCCTGCTGTTAGACCCAAGGTGAGCACCTACAGTGTCCAGGTGGGGTATGACCTCAAGATAGAGGTCCCAGTTGCTGGTCATCCAAAGCCAACCATTACGTGGACCAAGGATGGTGCTGCTCTTAAACAGACCACAAGAGTCAATGTTACTGACTCAGCACATCACACCACCCTCACCATAAAGGATGCCACCAAAGAGGATGGGGGCATGTATAGCATTAATGTCTCCAGTACCCTGGGTTCCAAAGATGCCACTATTGAGGTGATCACCCTGGACAAACCAGGCCCACCAACAGGACCTGTCAAGATGGAGGACATAAGTGCCGAGAGTATCACTCTAAGCTGGGAACCTCCTACATACACAGGTGGATGCCCAATCTCAAACTATGTGGTGGAGAAGAGAGACACAACTACAACCAACTGGGTGGTTGTATCTGCCACTGTTGCCAGAACCACATTAAAACTGAGCAATCTGAAGACAGGAGCTGAATATCAGTTCAGAATCTATGCTGAGAATAGATACGGAAAGAGCTATGCAATTGATTCAGAGCCTGTTTTGGCACAGTATCCATTCCAAGAGCCTGGCCCTCCAGGAACACCATTTGTGTCTTCATACACCAAGGACTTTATGGTAGTTGAGTGGCACAAACCCCCCTCTGATGGAGGAAGTGCTATCCTGGGCTATCATCTGGAGAGGAAAGAGAAGAACAGTATCCTCTGGACCAAGATTAACAAAATGCTGATCCAAGACTGCAGATATAAATCTACTCCTCTTGAAGAAGGTATTGAGTATGAGTACAGAGTCTATGCAGAGAATATTGTTGGCATTGGAAAATGCAGCAAAGTCTCTGAGGTTTATGTAGCCCGTGACCCATGTGATCCTCCTGGCCGTCCTGAGGCTGTGATTGTGACCAGGCACTCTGTGAAGCTTAGGTGGACCCCTCCAGTGTATGATGGTGGAAGCTTAGTTACTGGCTATGTCGTGGAGAAACGTGACCTTCCTGAAGGAAAGTGGATGAAGGCTAGCTTTGCAAACATCCTTGAACATGAATTCACAGTTACAGGCCTGACAGAGGACAGTAAATATGACTTCAGAGTATTTGCAAGGAATGCAGCTGGTGCTGTTAGCAAGCCATCTGAGTGCACAGGATCCGTCACAGCCAAGGATGAAATTGACCCACCAAAATGTGAGACAGATCCTATATACAACCAGTCCCTTGTTATCAATGCTGGGGAGACCTTCAGCCTGGAGGCCACTGTGGACGGGAAGCCCATCCCTACAGCCCAGTGGTTCAAGGGGGATGTTGAAGTTGAAAACTCTGCGAGGGCTGATATAAAAAACACAGATTTTAAGGCTTTGCTTATTGTGAAGGATGCGATCAGAGTGGATGGTGGCCAGTACACTCTGGTTCTTACTAATGTGGCTGGAACAAAGACCGTCCCATTCAGTGTGAAGGTACTGGACAGACCAGGCCCCTCAGAAGGACCCCTTACTGTCAGCAATGTCACTGAGGAGAAGTGTTCACTGTCATGGCTGCCACCCAGGCACGATGGAGGAGCTAGCATATCTCACTACGTCATTCAAAAGAGAGAAACCAGCCGCCTGGCATGGACTGTGGTCTCCAGTGACTGTGGAGCTACCATGTTAAAGGTTACAAAACTGTTGAAGGGCAATGAATACATCTTCAGAGTCTTGGCTGTCAACAAATATGGCATGGGTGAGCCTCTTGAGTCAGTACCGGTTATCATGAGAAATCCATTTGTTCCTCCTGGTGCACCTCAGGAACTTGAGATCACTAACATTCTAAGGGACTCCATGACTGTCTGTTGGAACCGCCCTGAGACCACAGGAGGCAGTGAGATTGCTGGTTATATCATTGAGAAGAGAGACAGAGCTGGAGTGAGATGGACCAAGTGCAACAAACGTCGGGTGACAGACTTGCGTTTCAGAGTAACAGGATTAACTGAGGACCATGAATATGAATTCAAGGTGTCTGCTGAGAATGCAGCTGGAGTGGGTCAGTCAAGCCCACCTACACCCTACCTCAAAGCCTGTGACCCCACCTTTGAACCAGGCTGTCCATCCAATGCTCATGTGCTCGACACAACTAAAAACTCCATCAGTCTCGCCTGGCATAGGCCCATCTATGATGGTGGTTGTGATATTCAAGGATATGTTGTGGAAATTAGCAAAGCCGAGGAGGAGGAATGGACCATATGCACCCCACCATCTGGAGTAAACGCTACCAAGTTTACTATCACCAAGTTGGTAGAGCACCAGGAATACAAGGTGCGCATCTGTGCCATTAATAAGTTGGGTGTTGGTGAGCCCACTGAGATCCAAGGAGTTATAAAACCTTTGGATAAGATTGATCCTCCAGAGATGATTCTGGATTCAGAACTCAGGAAGGGAATAGTTGTCCGGGCAGGTGGCTCAATGAGAATTTGCATTCCATTTAAGGGCCGTCCTACTCCTGAGATCAGCTGGGCCAAGGAGGATGGTCAACTGCCCAGTAAAGTTCAAATAGAGACTGGGGAAGATTACACTCAGCTCTCCATTGAGATCTGTGACAGATATGATGCTGGAAAATACATCCTCAACATGGAAAATACTGCTGGCACCAAATCAGCCTTTGTATCTGTTAAGGTCCTGGACACTCCAGGGTCCCCTCTGAATTTAACTGTAAAAGACATCAAAAGAGAAAGTGTCACTCTGACATGGGAGCCTCCTCTTATTGATGGTGGTGCACGAATAAAGAATTACCTGGTGGAAAAGCGAGAGTCCACCAGGAACGTTTATTCTAATGTGGACAACAAGTGTACAAAGACAAGCTACCGTATCACTGGCCTCACTGAAGGAACGATCTATTATTTCAGAGTCCTAGCTGAGAACGAGTTTGGCATGGGAAAGCCAGCTGAGACAGAGGATGCTGTTAAAACATCTGAGCCTCCTCTGTCTGTGGGTAAGGTGACTTTGACTGAAGTGACCAAAACATCTGCCTCACTCTCTTGGGAGAAGCCAGACCACGATGGAGGCAGCAGGATAATGGGCTACTATATTGAAATGCAGCCTGTGGGCTCAGAGGAATGGGTGGTGGCCGCTACAACTAAAACTTGTGAGGGCACTGTCACGGGCCTTAGTGCAGGACACCAGTACCTGTTTAGAGTGACAGCATTCAATGAGAAGGGCAAGAGTGACCCCAGGTCTCTTGCTGCACCAGTCACTGCTAAGGATGTAACAATCGAGCCAAGATTCAAGATGGCCTTCAACACTTACAGTTTACAGCTGGGCGAAGATCTGAAGATTGAGATTCCAGTAATAGGACGTCCTGTTCCCAAGGTTGAGTGGAAAAAGGATGGACAAGCTCTTAAGGAGACAACCAGATTAAATGTGTCTGGCACACCATCATCTACCAAGCTGTGCATCAAGGATGCAAGTAAAGAAGACTCTGGTAAATACAGTATCACTGCCACCAGCAGTGCTGGATCAATTACAGAGGAGATTACTGTTATTATTCTTGATAAGCCTGGCCCACCCACAGGTCCTGTGAAGATTGAGGAGGTGAGCTCTAATTATGTCACTCTCTCCTGGGAGCCACCAGGGTATACTGGAGGCTGTCAGATCAACAACTACATTGTGGAGAAGAGAGACACTACTACAACAGCATGGCAGATTGTGTCTGCTACTATTGCCAGAACAACCATCAAAGTCACCAACTTAAAGACTGGAGTTGAGTATCAATTCAGAGTGTCTGCTGAGAATAGATATGGAAAGAGTTCTGCTATTTTCTCTCCTGCTGTTATTGCCCAGTATCCATTCAGTCAGCCTGCCGCCCCAGGAACACCAGTTATTTCTGCTGCAACCAAGGATAACATGGTGGTTGAGTGGAAACATCCCACCAACAATGGAGGCAGTCCCATCTTGGGCTATCACCTTGAAAGAAAGGAGAAGAACAGCCTCTTGTGGACTAAACTCAACAAGCTTCTAATCCCAGATACACATTTCAAGACTATAGAACTGGAAGAAGGTATTGAGTATGAATTCAGAGTCTATGCTGAGAACATTGCAGGGGTCAGCCCAGCTAGCAAGGTCTCTGAGAGCACAGTTGCCAGGGACCCCTGTGACCCACCAGGCACTCCGGAGGCTATTGATATCACCAGAAACCATGTCACACTCCAGTGGACCAGGCCTCAGTATGATGGAGGAAGTGCTATCACTGGCTATGTAATTGAGAGGAGGAAGCACCCTGATACCCGCTGGATGAAGGCCAGCTTCACCAACATTCTTGATACCCGGTTCACACTCACTGGCCTCACTGAGGATTGTGTTTATGAATTCAGAGTCGTTGCCAGGAATTCTGCTGGCATTTCCAGCCGTCCCTCTCAGACCACAGGAGAAATTACTGCTAAAGATGAAATTGAAGCTCCAGGAGCCACCATGGATTCTAAATTCAAAGATCTAACTGTTGTTCATGCTGGTGAAACATTCATCATTGATGCTGACTACACAGGTAAGCCTCTGCCTGAGGTTGTTTGGTTAAAGGATGGAAAGGAGATTGACAAAGCCACTCCACGAATGGAGGTAAAGACCATGCTTACGCGTACCATCCTGACAGTCAAGGATTGCATTAGAGTTGATGGCGGCCATTTTGTCCTCAAACTTGTCAATGTGGGAGGAATTAAGATGATCCCAGTTAATGTTAAAATTCTGGATAGACCTGGTCCTCCAGATGGCCCACTAGAAGTCAAAGGAGTCACAGCTGAGAAATGTTATCTTCACTGGAACCATCCTTCACATGATGGTGGAGCCAGCATCTCTCACTACATCATTGAGAAGAGAGAGACCAGTCGTTTGTCATGGACCGTGGTTGAGCCCAAGATTCAGGCCATCAGCTACAAAATCACTAAACTGTTGCCTGGCAATGAGTACATCTTCAGAGTCACTGCTGTGAATAAATATGGTGTTGGTGAGCCTTTGGAATCTGAGCCTGTTATTGCCCGTAACCCCTTCACCACTTCCAGTGCCCCCTCCACCCCAGAGGCCAGTGCTATCACTCGGGATTCTATAGTACTTACCTGGGAAAGGCCAGAGGATAACGGAGGAGCTGAGATTGAAGGATATGTCCTTGAAAAACGTGATAAGGATGGCATCAGATGGACTAAATGCAACAAGAAGAGACTGAATGACCTGAGATTCAGATGTACTGGCCTCACGGAGGGTCACTCCTATGAATTCAGGGTCTCAGCTGAAAATGCTGCTGGTGTTGGAAAACCTAGTGCACCTTCACTATATATCAAGGCCTGTGATGCCACTTATCCACCAGGACCTCCAAATAACCCTAAAGTCACAGACCATTCAAGCACCACCGTCTCCCTGACCTGGTCCAGGCCTATCTATGATGGTGGAGCACAGATCACTGGATACATTGTTGAAATGAAGGAGGCAGCAGATGATGAATGGGTCAGTTGCACACCACACACTGGTGTACAAGTTACTCACTACACTGTAAAGACATTGAAGGAGAATGCAGAATACAATTTCAGAATCTGTGCTGTTAACTGTGAGGGAGTAGGGGAGCATGTTGACCTACCTGGGTCTGTGGTTGCTGCAGAGAAGCTGGAAGCTCCTGAAATTGAACTAGATGCTGACCTAAGGAAGATGGTCAATGTTCGTGCCACTGCTGCCCTCCGTCTGTTTGTGCCAATCAGGGGAAAGCCTGAGCCTGAGGTCAGATGGTCAAAGGCTGATGGTACTCTGAATGAACGTGCCCAGATTGAAGTCACAAGCTCTTACACAATGCTGCTGATTGATAATGTTGACAGATTTGACACTGGCAAATATGTACTCACACTTGAGAACCTCAGTGGCTCTAAATCAGCCTTCATCAATGTTCGAGTTCTGGACTCCCCCAGCACACCTACTAACCTGGAGGTCAAGGATGTAAAGAGAAATTCTGTCTCTCTCTCCTGGGAGCCTCCTCTAATTGATGGTGGGGCTAAGATTTCACATTATATTGTGGAGAAGAGAGAGCAGAAGAGAATGGCTTTCACCAGTGTTTCCACAAACTGTGTGAGGAACTCATACATCATTTCTGACCTACAGGAGGGAGGCCGATATTATTTCCGTGTATTAGCTGTTAACGAACTTGGAGTAGGTCTGCCTGCTTCCACAGATGTAGTCAAGGTGTCTGAGGCTCCTTTGCCTCCTGGTAAGATTATCTTGGTTGACGTTACTCGCCATACTGTCAACCTTTCATGGGAGAAACCGGATCATGATGGAGGCAGCAAGATTACAAAGTATATTGTGGAGATGCAGCCCAAGGGAGATGACAAATGGACTGTGTGCAGTGAAGTCAAAGCACTGGAAGCTACTATTGATGGACTTACAACTGGAGAGGAATACTCCTTCAGGGTGATTGCTGTGAATGATAAGGGCCAGAGTGATGCCAAACCTCTGGCTGCCCCTGTGGTGATAAAGGACATCACAGTAGAGCCCACCATCAACCTTGTGTTCAGCACATACAGTGTTAAAGCAGGAGATGATCTGAAGATTGATGTTCCTTTCAAAGGCAGACCACAGCCAGAAGTGTCCTGGAAGAAGGACGGCCAGGTGCTTAAGCAGACAACCAGGGTCAATGTTCTTACCTCTAGGACCTCCTCCAAGATTTTCATCAAGGATGCAACCAAAGACGATGTAGGAAAGTATGAGATTACTCTGACTAACTCTATTGGTACTAAGACAGCTGATATCTCTGTTATAATCCTGGACAAACCTGGTCCACCAAGCAACATTAAGATGGACGAGGTGAGTGCTGACTTCATCTGTCTGTCTTGGGATCCTCCAACCTATGACGGTGGATGCCAGATTAACAATTATGTAGTGGAAAAGAGAGATACTACGACAACCACATGGCAGATCGTCTCAGCCACTGTAGCCAGGACATCAATTAAGGTGTCTCGGCTTACTCAGGGAATAGAGTACCAGTTCCGTATTGCAGCTGAGAATCGTTATGGCAAGAGTCATGCCATTGACTCAGCTCCTGTTGTTGCTCAGTATCCTTTTGAGCCTCCTGGTCCGCCAACCAACCTCCATGTTTCCAATGCCACCAAGAGTGGCATGCTTGTGATATGGGGCAGACCTGCCAGTGATGGGGGAAGCCCTGTTATTGGCTATCACATTGAATGCAAAGACCAAAGTAGCATTCTATGGACAAAGGTCAACAGAGGACTACTAGCTGAGAACCAGTTTAAGATGACGGGCATTGAAGAAGGTCTTCTGTATCAGTTTAGAGTGTATGCTGAGAATATTGCTGGCATTGGTGCATGCTCTAAGACCAGTGACGCTGTGGCAGCCAGAGATCCATGCGAACCTCCACATAACCTTAAAGTCACCAACATTACCAGGAGCTCAGTTTCTCTCTTCTGGGAGCGGCCAGAGTATGAATTTGGATCAAAGATTACCGGCTACATTATTGAGCGTAAAGAACTTCCCAATGGTCGCTGGCTGAAATGCAACTTCAATAATCTGCAGGAAACCTACTTTGATGTCACAGGCCTCACAGAAGATGTTCAATATGACTTCCATGTTATTGCTAAGAATTCTGCAGAGCAGCTTAGTGCTCCTTCAGAGAGTACCGGCCCTGTTACAGTAAAGGATGATGTGGACCCTCCCACTATCATCCTGGAAGACAAGCTCAGACAGTTGGTTGTCATTAAAGCTGGGGATATCATTAGAATTGATGCTGAAATCACAGGCCGTCCACTCCCTGTTGTCTCATGGTCTAAGGATGGAAAAGAGATTTCAGCCAAAGCAAGGTGTGAAATTACTTCCACAAATTTCACAACCACCCTGATCGTCAGAGATGCTATCAGGAGGGACTCTGGCCAGTATGTCCTGTCCCTGCACAATGTGGCAGGAACCAGGTCTGTTGCTATCAATTGTAAAGTTTTGGATAGACCTGGGCCCTCTTCAGGACCTTTGGCAGTGTCTGGGGTCACAGCAGAGAAATGCACAATAACATGGGGACCCCCTCAGGAGAACGGTGGTGCTGAAGTTATGCACTATATTGTGGAGAAACGTGAGACAAGTCGCCTGGCCTGGACTCTTGTCTATGGAGACATGAAGGCAACTACCTGTAAAGTGACCAAGTTACTCAAAGGAAATGAGTACATCTTCAGAGTGAGGGGAATCAACAAATATGGGGATGGTGAAGCCCTGGAGAGTGAGCCAGTTAAGGCTTTGGATCCATTTACTGTTCCTTCAGCTCCCACAAATGTCCAGGTCACTGCTGTTACTAGTGAGGCAATGACCATCTGTTGGGAAAGACCCATTTCTGATGGAGGCAGCAGTATCTCTGGCTATGTCATTGAAAAGCGAGAGAAGACTGGTCTTCGCTGGTGCCGTGTTAACAAGAAACCTGTTTATGACCTTAGAGTCAAAGCCTCACACCTTCGTGAGGGATGTGAGTATGAGTACAGAGTGTTTGCAGAGAATGCTGCTGGCCTCAGTGCTTCTAGCACCCCTTGCCTGCTCACCAAGGCCGAAGACCCACAGTTCCTGCCTTCCCCTCCTGCTAAGCCTACGATCATTGACTCTACAAAGACCACTGCCACCCTGTCATGGAAAAAGCCACTATTTGATGGTGGAGCCGTTGTGACTGGTTACAGAGTAGAATACAGGAAGACATTTGATGATGAATGGTTTGTTGGAGTCCACAACACCAAGAACACAGAGTTTACTGTGGTGGGATTGACACCTGGGGCTGAATATGTGTTTGTTGTCAAGTCCATTAACAAGATTGGGATCAGTGAGCCCAGCCCTGAGTCAGACAAACAGGTTGCCAAAGAAAGAGAGGAGGAGCCTGTTTTTGACATCAGTAATGAGATGAGGAAGACTCTTGTTGTGAAGGATGGTAGCTCATTCACCATGACAGTGCCCTTCAGAGGCAAACCCATCCCCAGTGTTACATGGGCCAAACCTGATGTTGACCTCAGAGTCCGTGCTGTCATTGACACCACAGAGACCTTCACATCCATCACCTTAGAGAAAGCAACTCGCAACGACTCTGGCAAATACACAGTCACCTTGTCTAGCGTAGCTGGAACCTCCTCTTTGACGCTCAATGTCAGAGTACTGGACTCTCCTGGACCCCCTGCCTGTGTAGAAGTCAAGGACGTGACTAAGACCTCTGCTACTGTAACATGGGACACTCCTGAAAATGAGGGAGGAGGACCTGTCAAAAACTACCTTATTGATTTCCGTGAGGCCAGCAAGAAAGGCTGGACTAGATTGACTGACACATGTCACAGACTGACATACAGGGTGACCGACCTGCAAGAGGGAGCAGTTTATTACTTCAGAGTGACAGGCCAGAATGAATACGGTGTTGGTGTTCCTGCTGAGTCCAAAGAAGGAACCAAGATCACAGGTATTGAATTTACTGTTGGTAAAATTATAGTCTTATTTAGGGTCTTATACCCAATTGTATTTTAATAAAACAAATGATGTCTTCTTTCCACAGAAAAACCAAGCCCCCCACCAAAACTTGGCGTGAGTGATGTGACCAAAGAGAGTGTGTCACTGGCCTGGGCCAAACCAGAACAAGATGGAGGCAGCAGAATTACTGGCTACCTAGTGGAAGCCCAAGAGAAAGGCCAGGAGAAGTGGGTCAAGTGTGGTGTAACCAAGTCCACCCACCTCACAGTGTCTGGTCTGAGGGAGAATGCTGAGTACTTCTTCAGGGTCAGAGCTGAGAACCATGCTGGATTCAGTGATGTTAAGGAAATGGTCAACCCTGTAATGGTGAAAGACCAGCTTGGTAAGTTGCAGTCTAAAAAGACAAAGACCAATTAAGTAAAAATACAAAATGCCAATATTTATATGTATTACTGGTAGTTGCATTATATAACCAGGACATTAAAAAGTTAAATAACACCTGATATCCTTGGCTATAACTGTCTTTATCACTTCTGTGCATTAGAATCTCCTGAGATCAACATGAAGGACTTCCCTCACAACACAGTGTTTGTCAGAGCCGGTTCCACCCTCAAGTGTGAGATCCCACTGACAGGCAGACCTTTACCTAAAGTCTCGCTGTCCAAGGATAACGTACAGCTCAAGTCAACCATGAGGTTCAACTCTGAAGTCACCCCTGATAGCATCAAGATCACTCTACGCGAAAGCATCGCTAGAGACTCAGGACGCTACGATATCACTGCCTCAAACTCCAGTGGAACCACCAAGCAATCTTTAAATATTGTGATTTTAGACCGTCCCAGTGCCCCACTTGGACCAGTGGAGCTGTCTGACGTGACAGAAGACAGCGTTAGCCTGGAATGGCTCCCACCGATATATGATGGTGGCAGCCCCATCACCAACTACATCATCCAAAAGAGAGAGACAACCACAGCCAACTGGATGGATGTCTCTTCTGCTGTGGCTCGCTGCACCATGAAGATTATGAAGCTGACCACTGGCCTGCAGTACCAGTTCAGAATCAGGGCTGAGAACAGATATGGAATCAGCGAGCACATTGACTCACCAACTGTCACCGTCAGCCTTCCTTACAGTAAGACTTTTTTGTTTTACGTTCATATTTTATCCATTATTGCTTTTCCTACTCTGTTAATAAGTTAACCCTCCAAATCTGTTTCTCACCAATCAGCTATTCCTGATGCTCCATTAACTCCAGAGGTCACTTTTGTAACTAGAGAGACCATTACTGTAGCCTGGAAGGAGCCCAAGTCAGATGGTGGCAGCCATGTGTTTGGCTACCATCTCCAGATGAAAGACAAGAACAGCATCCTCTGGCAGAGAGTCAACAAAATGGTGATCCGTGCTACACACCTAAAGGTCACTAATATCAATGCCGGACTTATTTATGAGTTCAAGGTGGCAGCAGAGAATGCTGCTGGAGTCAGTGCCTTCAGCAAGGTCTCTGATGCAGTGCTGGCTATTGATGCGTGTGGTGAGTAGACTCAAATAAAGTCTATTAAAGTCAAGGAAATATGATTTCACTGGTACAACTATCTTATAATGAATTCCCACTTTCTGTACCTGCAGAGCCACCCATAAACCTGCGCATCAGTGACATCACCAAGAACACCATCAGCCTGGCCTGGCAGAGACCCAACTACGATGGTGGATCCCCAATCATTGGCTACATCATTGAGAAGAGGGAGGGTGTTAGTGCCAAGTGGTCCAAGGCTATCCTCAACAATGTCACAAACACCCGCTTCACTGTGACCGGCCTGACCCAGGATGAGACATACGAGTTCAGAGTCATGGCCAGGAACGCCGTTGGGTCAGTGAGCAACCCGTCTGTTACTGCTGGACCAGCCACATGTGTGGACACCTACGGTAGGTTTCATTTTATTCTTAAATATGGATTTACATAAATTGTAGTTCACCATTCCCCTTTACACTTGATATTTTGGACGTACTGTGGCCTTTCCTCTCATCCGCATTTTTGTCTGAATCTGGATATCACATTATGGAGATCAACTTTTTTAAACAAACAATGAAGATCTTCGCTATACACTTGACTCTTGTGATGCCTCAGAACTCAAAATCACATGTTTTTCATTTCTATTCCAGGTGCCCCAGAGATTGAAATACCTCAGGAGTACTTCAGTGAGGTCAAACACAAGGCCGGCTCTAATGTGGAGCTCAAGTTTAATATCACAGCCAAACCTGCTCCAACTATTGAGTGGTTGAAGGATGGAAGAGAGCTTGAGCCCAGCGCCCAGCTCTCTTTTAAACACACATTTGAGTACACCAGTGTGTTCCTGAAGGAAACCACTCGTTTGAATTCTGGTACATATGAGGTCAGGGTGAAGAACTCCTTGGGATCTGCATGTGCTGTTGTGAGGCTGCTCATACAAGGTATTTAAAATATTATTGAAAAAACTGTATGACAGTAATTTCTAACTTGCAAGAAATTCATCTTATATGTATAAAAACACAGATTTTCATGGACACTATCCTTTCTTATCTAGACAAACCAGGTCCACCTGCTGGAGAGATCCAGTTTAAGAAGGTGACTGCTGACAATATAACCATCATGTGGTCCCCACCTGCTGATGAGGGCGGTGCCATGGTGACTCATTACATTGTGGAGAAAAGAGAGACCAGCAGGGTCATGTGGTCCATAGTCTCAGAGAAGCTGGTGGACTGCATTGTTAATGTTCCCAGACTCATCCAGGGCAATGAGTACATCTTCAGAGTTCGTGGAATGAACAAATACGGCATTGGAGACCCACTGGAGTCTGAGCCCGTCATTGCAAGGAATGCATTTGGTAAGAGAGTGGAGTTAATATCCCTCCCACACCTGGTGTTCTGTCCTGAGATGATTATGTGTCATGATTATGAGGAAATCTAATATCTTATGTATAAATAAAGACTCACGACTTAAGGATAGATAATAGAAAAGCAAATGTTTTTGAAGAAATGTTATTCAATAGAAAAACAATTTCGTCTATCCTGGTCTTTGTTTTTTTCAGTTCCTCCTAGCGAGCCATCTAAGCCTCAAGTCACCATGATTACCAAGTCCACCATGACAGTGATCTGGGAAAGACCTGCATTGGATGGAGGTAGCGACATCGACGGCTACTACCTAGAGAAGAGGGAGAAGAAGAGTCTGCAGTGGTTCAAGGTTTGCTTTTTTGACCAATCTTTAGAAAAGTTGTCTCATATATTTAAGAAACCAAGTGTAAGCTTCATAAAATACACATTTTGTCCAGGTGGTGAAGGGAACCATCAGAGACACTCGGCAGAAAGTCACTAACCTGGTGGAGAACAGCGAGTACCAGTACAGAGTTTGTGCTGTCAACAAGGCTGGAGCAGGGAACTACTCTGAGTCTTCTGAACTCTACAAAGCTTACGACCCTATCGGTATGCTTTTCATTACAAATAGTATTAACATTACAACTTTGCAGGAGCTTCTGTTCAAGATTTCTTTATTGTCATGGTCTTCACACAGAATCTTTTATCTTCTCCAGATCTGCCTGGTGAGCCATCCAAGCTGCATGTGGTTGACTCCACAAAGACTTCCATCACCCTCGGCTGGGAGAAGCCCGTTTATGATGGTGGCAGTGAAATCACTCACTACATTTTGGACCAGATGAACTCTGAAGACAAAGAATGGGTGACCATCAACCCACAGGTTAAGACCTGTGAATACGTGGTGTCCCACCTCATGCCTGGAACCTACTACTTTTTCAGAGTGTCGGCTGTCAACTCTAAGGGCAAAGGAGAGGACATCAAAATGTACCAACCTGTGCAAGCCAAAGATATCTTGGGTTTGTATTTATGTTGACTCCTCTATGATGATTTACAAGCAAGTATTTGTTTAATGATTATTAACACAATATGAGTGTTAGAAAGTAATTTTCTATTGTTTCTATGGCTTCAAATTGTTATTTAAAATCTTTTGGATTAGAATTATATCATTATTAATGCATTAATTCCTCCTCCTTTCATTTGTGTTACACTTTACTGTCTAACAGAGGAGGCTGATCTGGACTTGGATGTTTCAATGACAACCCAGTACACAGCAAGAGCTGGCCGTGATGTGGAAGTGTTTATCCCCCTAAAGGGACGCCCCGCCCCCAATGTCACATGGCGCCGTGGCGACCGCAACATGGCTGGTGACAACCGCTACTCCATCACCAGCACTGAGCGATCCACCACACTCCTCATACCCAAGGTCACCCGTGATGACTGTGGCAAGTACTTGCTGGAGATTGAGAATGGCGTTGGAGAACCAAAGATAATTATGGTTTCCCTTAAAGTTCTGGATAGTCCAGCCACCTGCCAGAAACTGTTGATCAAGAACGTGACAAGAGGAAAATTGACCCTCAGCTGGGAAGCTCCTCTCATTGATGGTGGTTCCCCTGTCACTAATTACATTGTTGAGAAGAAGGCCTCCACCATGAAGGCTTACCAGGTGATCACCGGAGAGTGTGCCAACACATCCTACAAGGTCTCAGGCCTGGAGGAGGATCGTGCTTATTTCTTCCGTGTGTCTGCTGAAAACGAGTATGGTGTGGGTGACACATGTGAGACCACTGAGCCCGTCAGAGCCACGGAAACTCCAGGAGCTGTTAAAGAGCTGGTGATGGTGGACTCCACAAAGAGCTCTGTTACCCTGCAGTGGACCAGACCTGACCATGATGGTGGCAGCCTCATCACTGACTACATTATTGAGAAGAGATCCCAGGAAGAGGTCACCTGGACTTTGGGTGCTACATGTAAGCGCTGCAGCTGTGAAGTCACAGGACTCAAAGAAAACGCTATCATGGACTTTAGAGTATTTGCCAAGAATGAAAAGGGCAACAGTGACTTCTCACAGATTGGTCCAATCGTAGTGATGGACTTCATCATTCCACCCGATGCCCTTCTCAGCGACTACCCCAATGGAGAGCTTGCTGTTCGCATTGGTCAGAACATCCACATTGAATTGCCCTTCAAGGGTAAGCCAAGACCAGCAATCAGCTGGCTTAAGGATAACTTCCCTCTGAAGGAAAGTGAGAAGATTCGCTTCAGGACCACTGACAACAAGACTGCCATCACAGTCAGAGGAGCCAAGAAAGAGCATGCCGGCCAATACACCTTGGTTCTGGACAACAGAGTCATCAAGAACTATTTTGACATTAATGTGATCACTTTGGGAGCTCCCTCAGTGCCTGTTGGTCCTATCCGCTTCGATGAGATTAAAGCTCAGAGTGTCATCATCTCCTGGGATGAGCCAAAGGAGGATGGAGGTGGCGAGATCACCTGTTACAGTGTGGAGAAACGGGAGACTTCACAGGCTAACTGGAAGATGGTCTGCTCCAGTGTTGTCAGGACCACATTCAAGATTCCCAACCTAGTCAAGGGAAGTGTGTACCAGTTCAGGGTCCGTGCGGAGAACAAGTATGGAGTCAGTGAACCACTCAACTCCTCAGACATTATTGCCCAGCACCAATACAAACCTCCAGGTCCCCCAGGAAAGCCAGTGGCCTTCAACATCACCAGTGATGGAATGACCATCAGTTGGGAGGCCCCTGATTTTGATGGAGGATCCCCTATATTGGGCTATCATGTTGAGAAAAAGGACAGGAACAGCCTGTTGTGGCAGAAGGTGAACTCCTCTATCATCTCCAACAAAGAGTACAGAATCATTGGTCTCATGGAGGGACTGGAGTACTCCTTCAGAGTCTATGCAGAGAACAACGCTGGAATTAGCACTGTTAGTGAACAGAGTAAACACGCACTCGCCATCTCCCCTGTTGGTAAGTGCATGTTAAAAAAATAACAGTCTCATCCTATATTATTATTTTCAAGATTCTTTTTGCTTCAGTATCACCGTAGGATTTTTTTTAAACCAAGCACTCTTGATAAATTGCCTCTGTCTTCTCTCATTAGATCCACCTGGCACTCCCACGTGCATCGATGTAACCAGAGATTCGGTCACCCTGCAGTGGGACATCCCCAACAGGGATGGTGGCAGCAAGATTGTGGCCTATAGTGTGGAGAGGCGCCAAGGTAGAGGCAAATGGCTGCGGTGCAACTTCACTGATATCAGCGAAACCCAGTTCACTGTGACTGGTTTGTCACCTGGAGACAGATTCGAGTTCAGAGTGATTGCTAGGAATGCTGTGGGCACTGTCAGTCCACCGTCCAACTCCTCTGCAAACATCATGACCAGGGATGAGAACAGTAAGTACATTCAACTTAAAAATATATACATTTAGAAATGTTATCATAAACAGTGTGTTCCTTCATTCTGCAGATCACTCATCTGTTCATTTGCTTTATATTTCCAGTTGCTCCTGAGATCATTTGGTCTCCAGATCAGGTTCTATCGATGAGGGCTGGAGAGAAGGTGCAGCTCGGCTGCAGGATCACTGGACGTCCTGTCCCCCAGGTTGTCTGGTACAAGGATGGCAAAGAGATCGACAAGAGGATCATGCTTGACATTGAGATCACCAGCGGTATTGGAAACAGCAGTCTGTTTATTCGCGATGCTGACAGGAACCACCGTGGAATCTACACTGTCGAAGCCAAAAACAGCTCCGGTACCAAGAAAGCTGATGTCAATGTCAGAGTACAAGGTTGGTAAAAACTTAAGTTTCATTATGTTTAAGAGACACTGTATAGGAAAAACTTGTTCAATCCTGTTTCTATTGACACTTGGAACCTACCTTCTCACATGCTTCAGATACACCGGGACCTGTAGAAGGTCCAATCCGTTTCACCGGCATCACAGCCGAGAGGTGCACAGTGTGGTGGAACCCACCAGAGAATGATGGTTGTGCCGCCATCACTCATTATGTGGTGGAGAAGAGGGAGACATCCAGGATCTCCTGGGCCTTGGTCACCTCCAAGTGTGAGGCCTGTTCTTACAATGCCACCAACCTCATCAGGGGCAATGAGTACCAGTTCAGAGTCTCTGCTGTTAACAAGTTTGGTGTTGGCAAACCACTGGACTCTGATCCTATCATCGCACAGATGCAATACAGTAAGTTACTCACATTCTGTCTGACAAATTTGACCAACGCTAGTAAACCTTACTGATCTGTTGCAATTGAAATTGAGCAGAAAAGAACAGAGAACTGCCTTCACATTCAGAACTTGACCTTTTTACCTTAAAAAAAACATATTTTCTTTTCTCTTTCAGCTGTGCCTGATGCCCCTGGTACTCCAGATGCCACGCATGTGACTGGAAACAGCATTACCATGTGCTGGACTAGGCCAAGGTCAGATGGAGGCAACGAGATCAAACACTACATCCTCGAGAGGCGAGAGAAGAAGAGTCTGCGCTGGCTGAAGGTTTCCTCTAAGAGGCCCATCACAGAGCTGAGACACCGTGTCACCAAACTCACTGAGGGCAACGAGTATGAGTTCCGTGTCATGGCTGAAAACGGCGCTGGTGTTGGACCAGCCAGCAGTACCTCCAGGCTTTTCAAATGTAGAGAGCCTACCAGTGCTCCTAGTGCTCCCACAGTGATCAAGGTAGGATTACAGAAGACAATCCTCTATTTTCAACAAAATGTCAGACATATATATTGTCAGCTGCATATATTAATTATTTTTAATGTGACTTTCTGTTTTAACACAGTAAAACCTCACAAATAACTTAAATGTAGACATAATAATTAAGAAAAATGAGAATAAAGAAATATTTTTAAAACTTTTTTTTAGGTCACTGACTCCACTAAGTCATCTGTCACCATTGCATGGACCAAGCCAGTCTTTGATGGTGGAATGGAAATCATTGGCTACAACATTGACATGTGTAAGGCCAGTCTGGAGGAGTGGCACAGAGTCAACAACCAGATTTGCATCCACACCAGTTACACTGCCAAGGGCTTGGTAGCTGGAGAGATCTACAGGTTCAGAGTCAGTGCTGTAAATGGATCAGGAGAAGGCGAAGCCTCTGTGTTGGCCAGTCCTGTTCAGGCTCTGGACAGACTCACATCTCCTGAGATCGACATCGATGCCAACTTCAAGCAAACACACATCGTAAAGAATGGCGGTTTGGTCACACTCCATGTTGCCTTCTGTGGCAAACCAGCGCCTCTTGCCATCTGGTCTAAGGTAGACGGTGAGCTGCCTGTCATGGCTGATGTCAACACCACAGATTCATTCTCCACTCTGACTATTGAGGGGTGCACAAGGTACGAGGCTGGCAAATACACCCTGTCTCTAGAGAACAACAGTGGGCGCAAGTCCATCACGTTCACTGTCAAAGTGCTGGATACACCTGGGCCTCCAGGAGCCATCACCTTCAAAGATGTTACCCGTGGAGCCTTGACAATGATGTGGGATGCCCCCACCAATGATGGTGGATCCCGAATCCACCACTACATTGTAGACAAGCGTGAGGCCAGCCGTCTGGCCTGGCAGGAAGTCAGTACCAAGTGCTCTCGGCAGATGATTAGGGTAACTGGTTTGGATATTGGCGTGCGATATCTGTTCAGGGTGATTGCTGTTAACCAGTATGGCCAGGGAGAACCTCATGAGATGACAGAGCCTATCATTGCCACCGAAGAACCAGCACCACCCAAGAGACTGGATGTCGTTGACACCACCAACTCTTCAGCCTCGCTGGTATGGCTGAAGCCTGAGCATGATGGAGGCAGCCGCATCAGAGGCTACATCGTTGAATTCAGAGCTAAAGGCACTGACCGCTGGGTAGTAAGCGAAGAGACCAAGTCCCAAAAGATGCTAGTGGAAGGTCTGATTGAGAACACTGAGTATGACTTCAGAGTCAAGGCCAAGAACGATGCTGGTATCAGCGAGCCTCAGGGCACCTTTGGCTCTGTGGTCATTAAGGAGCCTCGCATTGAACCAACTGCTGACCTCAGCAGCATCACCAACCAGCTCATCACCTGCAAGACCTCCAACACCTTCACAATCGACATCCCAATCAGTGGCAGACCCGCGCCCAAGGTCACGTGGAAGCTGGAAGAGATGAAGCTGAAGGAGACAGACAGAGTCTCCATTAAGACCACAAAGGAGAGAACCACTCTGGTGGTGAAAGACAGCAAGAGAAGCGATAGTGGCAAATACTACTTGACCCTTGAGAACACAGCTGGTGTGAAGACATTCACAGTGACTGTAGTTGTCGTTGGCAGACCGACTCCACCCACAGGCCCAGTAGACATTTCTGGAGTTTCCTCAGAATCCTGCACCCTGTCTTGGTCTGAGCCAGCGGACGATGGCGGCACTGACATCACCAACTATATTGTGGAAAAACGAGAGTCTGGCACTGCCTCCTGGCAAGTGGTGAACTCTAGTGTGAAGAGAACCACTATCAAAGTGACTCATCTTACCAAGTACTTGGAGTACACATTCAGAGTGTGTGCTGAGAACAAGTTTGGAGTAAGCAAGTCCATTGAGTCTGCTGCTGTTGTCATTGAGCATCCATTTGGTAAGTCCTGATCAACATATACACAAAAATAAGTCCCGATTTTGTAGGTGTGGACGCCAAAGTTTGATGAATTTTATAAAAGTGTCTTCATCCGAATCAAATTAAGAATACCTGTTCTCACTACTTTGTTTGCACAGTTCCTCCAAGTCCTCCAACTCGTCCAGATGTTGTATCTGTCTCTGCCAGCACCATCAGCATCAAATGGGATGTGCCATATGCAGATGGTGGCAGCAAGATTTCAGGCTACTGGATTGAGAAGAAGGAAAGGAACACGATTCTGTGGGTGAGGGAAAACAAACTGCCTTGCCTGGAGTGCCATTACAAGATATCCAGCCTGATCGAGGGCCTGGACTACCAGTTCAGGGTGTATGCCATGAACATTGCTGGACTCAGCAAGGCCAGCGAGGCCTCCAGACCTGTGACGGCGCTCAACCCTGTTGGTAATGGAAACATTAATCTTCTACAGATATTTATTATTTAAACTAATGAAAGATTATTCATCTTAACAACTGTTTTGCACTGTTCACTTCACTCAGCTAAAAGTTCCAGATCAGAAATTCCAGTCTTTAAGAACATGAGAAAGCTGCGTAATTAAAACTGTGGTACAGTTGTATAATTTACTTCTTTCCATCCTTGCTTAGATCCTCCTGGTAAACCCGAGGTGACGGATATTAGCCACTCCTCTGTATCACTGTGCTGGACTGTGCCATTTAATGATGGTGGCAGCAGGATCGTTGGGTATGTGGTGGAAAGGAAAGTCTATAGCACGGATGAGTGGGATGACAACCGCTGGCTCAAGTGCAACTACACCACCATCAGTGAGAACTACTTCACCGTGACTAACCTGGGAGAGGGAGAGACATATGAGTACCATGTCATCGCTAAAAATGCAGCAGGTGTCCACAGCGCACCTTCAGAGTCTACCGGACCAATCACATGCAAAGACGAATACTGTAAGTTTGGGTCATAAAAATCATTACAATTAGGATTTAGATTAAGATTTCTCGGAAGAGGTTTACCTTATAAGTAATAAGTATAATACTACCAGTTTAAGTCAAATAACAATAACCAATATATTTTTGGATCTGTTGCTTTTAATCACATTGTGGCATACTTACAAGTCAATTGTTATTGAGGTAAAAAATTAAAAAACATTTCTTTGCCGCAGCTCCTCCCAAAGCTGAACTTGACAGCAAGCTGGTGGGTGAGACAGTCACGGTCTCTGCCGGCTCCGATCTTGTCTTGGACGGTGCTGTAGGTGGTAAACCGGAGCCTACGGTCTTCTGGTCGAAGGGCGACAAGATTTTGGAGCTGGGAGAGAAATATTCGCTGACCTACACTGCCACCAGAGCCATGGCCATCATCAAGGACTGCAACAGATACGACACAGGCAGATACATCCTGACTGTTAAGAATGCCAGCGGAATCAAGACTGCTGCTGTCAACGTTAAAGTACTAGGTGTGTAACCAACGAGCAACTGTGATGAAACTAGACTGACATTATTTCAGACTACAAGGATATGACTTAGTTGACTCAAATAATAACACTTCAAGTTGTGTAGCAATTAATAGACATTTCACTGGACTGATTGACGGGTTCTCCTCTTTTAGACACTCCTGGAGCACCGGCTGACAAGATCGTAATCAGCAGAGTGACAGAGGAGAAATGTACAGTGTCGTGGAAGATTCCACTGCAGGATGGTGGTGACATTGTCACCCATTACATCGTGGAGCGTCGCGAGACCAGCCGCCTCAACTGGGTCATCATGGAGGCTGACTGCAAGTCTCTGTCATGTGTCAGCAGCAGGCTGATCAAGAATAACGAGTACATTTTCAGAGTCAGAGGAGTCAACAAGTTCGGACCTGGAGTTCCTCTAGAATCTGATCCCATCATCGCCAGGAATGCCTACAGTAAGAGTTCAACTTTTCATTCCAATGATTTCTGATGGTGGTGCTGTAGCAAACATTTATCATTTTGTGAGATGAAGGACAGTGAGGAACAACCCTTGTTACATATCAAGACGAAAGTGAGATTGGCTGAGGGGTAGAGCGGTCGTCCTCCGCCCAGGAGGTCGGCAGTTCGATCCCAGTCTAACCCTATCTGAAGTGTCAACATCAACAAGTGTGAACATCCAACTCGCTCATTAAAGAAAAACATAATGAATTTTTGTGTCTGTGACTCTGACATGTCTTAACTCTTCTATCTCTCAGCCATCCCGTCCCAGCCAGGCACACCGGAGGTTACAGCTGTGGCCAAGGAGCATGTCATCATCGAGTGGCTGAAGCCTGAGAGCGATGGAGGCAGCGAGATCAAAACCTACATTGTGGATAAACGAGAGAAGAGCAGCACCAGGTGTGAATAACATCTGATAGACTTGATGGATGAATTTTACTTTTCACTTTCTGAAATATTGATGTCATCATCTTTCCCTCACCACATCATGTCATTCCTTCTCTGGAACAGGTGGACTCGAGTTAATAAGAATTACACCATCTACGACACTCGTCTGAAGATCTCAGGTCTATTGGAGGGAAGCGAGTACATGTTTAGAGTGACTGCTGTCAATGCTGCTGGAGACAGCCAGCCGAGCGACGCCTCACCATACATCCTCTGCAAAGACCCCACTTGTAAGACATTAAACAGCCTTTTCTTTTTAAGTCCTAACCAATGCAAAAGTTAACTGAATTTGATGTTTAATACTTGATGGAATGAGGTTCAAAGAAGATATAATATATTTATATTTACTTTCAGATACACCAGCGTCTCCATCAATGCCTCGCATCACTGACACAACCAAGCACAGCATCAGCCTGACTTGGACCAGACCCATGTATGATGGAGGCTCAGACGTCAGCGGCTATATGGTTGAGATCTTAGAGGAGGGCTCCGAGCAGTGGTACCGTGCCACCGCCAAGGCACTCAAGACCAATGAGTATGTGGCAGCTGGCCTGACAGCCAATAAGAAGTATAGATTCAGAGTAGCTGCCATCAACAACAACGGCACCGGGGAGTTCAGTGAACCAAGTGCTGAGGTCCAGCCTCTAGAGAGAATTGGTGAGTCGATGCACACTTCAGTCAGAAAATAACCGTTCATCTATCTTTATATTCTAAACAGCAGGGGAGCTCCTGTTCCTGCTAAAACTTGCTGTGGCAGGAAAGAGACAAAGCAAAATAGAATAGCACGTCATAAAATGTAATTATTAGTTATTATTATCACCAGCAGCACCAAAACAAACATTTATCTCATATGCTTTCTACATATAAAATCTAAAACCTCTCCACAAACTATTTCAAAAACAAAAGAAGTATAATGTGAAAAAGTTTTTGTCGCAGCATTATATGACTCTATATGCTCCACCTGCTCAGAAATTCCTGACCTGGAGCTTGCCGACGATCTGAAGAAAACGGTGTGTCTGCGAGCCGGAGGAACCCTGCGTCTGTTTGTGTCTGTCACTGGCCGGCCAATACCAGTGGTGTCCTGGAGGAAGACAGGTGTGGAGCTGCAGACCCGTGGCTTCATTGAAACCACCAATAGCTACACCATGCTAATGGTGGAAAAGGTTACTCGCTATGACTCTGGAAAATACGTTGTGGAGGCAGAGAACCCATCTGGCAAGAAGACTACAACCATTCTGGTCAAAGTCTATGGTATGTCATCTGAAGTTAGATTTAGATTTAGATTTCCTTTATTGTCCCTCAGTGGGGAAATTCACATGTTACAGCAGTAGCACAAGATTTAACTCCAAAGAGAGGACAAACAAACAAG